TTATTTGTAAAGTATATACATAATATATTATATGATTTATATATCACATAATATACCATATTAAATAGTAACACTCAATAACTATATTAATATTAGTCATTCTTATTGGCATAATTTAGCTTTATATATTTATATAAGTTATGTGATATATTTATATAATATAGAAAATGTTAACATAAATTAATGATTGACCTTTTTATGATGTCATGTTCATATAATATCATGCTTAAATAATATTAATATTTAAATTACTCTCAATTAAATAAAATTTAAAATTCAATTTGTCCCACATGGCTGGTGGCTGTTGCACAGGCTGATAGAGATCAGAGGCTATTTTCATCCTATAGGAAGCTGGACTGGGAAAAGCTCCTTTAATGGGTTATCCAGTGCTGTCTGGCTGTTGGAGGTTGACTGGGCATATCCCCCTGTAGGAGACAGGGGTGGGGGCGGTGGGGGGTGGAGGTGTGGGGGTGGGGGTTGTTGTTGGTGGTGGTGGGCGGGTGGGGGTGGTGGGTGTTTCTGGGCAGGCTAGAGGCCATAGCATGCTTGGATAAATTGATGGTTTGATGCATTACAGCTCATAAGTTCCTGCTCAGTTGTCACCCCACAAAGCAGAGAAGCTTCTGGAAATGTGCCCCCGATTTTGTGTGGGAGACACCCAGGGGTCCTGTAGCTCTGGCTTGGCCACCCTCAGTGGGAGGGTGAGAGCTTTGTGCAGGGGATCTAGCGGGTTTTGGCCTGTGGCCTGTAAGCGACCTCTCTGGAGGGAGAGAACAGATGAGCCAGCACTAGCTAGGAGAGCCTTTATTCGCCCTCAGTGGCCCCTTCGGCCACTCTCGCGGTTAATTCTCTTCTGGGACACTGAGCTTCTCCTTCACCCCACAGGCCACCACAGCAAAGAAGAACTCAGGGAAGAAGGTTCGGATGAACACGGCGGCCTTGGGGATCGGGTTGGCCATGAACACCTCTTGCTTCCTCCTCCGCACCGTGCGCATCACTTCCTCAGCCACCTCCACCGGGTGAACGCCGTAGGCCAGCTTCCTGCAAAAGACTGAAAGCACAGGCTGGGGCGGCTGCAGCTGGTTCACATCCCCGGACTACGAAGATGCTTGGGTGCATCTTTAAAGCCAGGGTTTCCTGACACTCTGCTATCCTCCGGCCTCAAGCCTGGGAAAGACACTTTACCCTCCAGCCTCCGCCGCTTTGTTTACTGCCTCATTTTCTCCATGGTGCCTTCACAGTGGAGGGGATGGGGACAAGCTTGGGTGCTAAGGAGAAGGAGGGCCTGCCATGTGTGGTGGTGAAGCTGCCCTTGCCTAGGGCCTCTGGTGCTCTTTGCTCCAGGCCAGTTCCTGTTGGTGTCTCAGTGCAGACCCAGAGCTCTGAGTAAGGAGCAATCTCTGTCGTGAGAGTATTCGGGCTGTTGGGCTAGAACCTTCTTCCCTGTTTCCAAGGGAAAAATGGGGCCTAGCTCTATAAAGGGCTTGCCTCTAAGCTGTGGCAGAGGCAAGCCTGAGGCACAGGCAGTCTTGGATGGGAAGGCTTAGCGTCCATTCAGAACTGCCTCTTCAGAAAGAGGGAGCAGGGTGGTTCTTAAAGATTACGTGTTGGTTGCTAGGTCTGGGAAAAGCTGTTGAGCAGGGTGAGTGTCCCGCTCAGCCCTGCCAGGGTCAGTGTCCCGCTCAGCCCTGCCAGGGTCTGCTGGGTGCAGCTTGGGTGTGCTCTCTACCTGGTACCTCAGGCCTAAAGGCTTCGTTTCTCCACCTCCAGACTTAGGGTTCTCTCTCAACTCTTACATTTACAAATGGATGACTCCCAGTTTCTTTGCTCAGGATAAACATGGTAGGAACGGATGAAAGTCGGGCTCACGGTGCTGACCACAACATCGTACTCCTCAACCTCAGCTCGGAGGCAGTCGAAGAAACCCATGATGGCGTGCTTGGAGGCTGCATCTGGAAGAAAGACCAGCCAGAGGTGGGTACAGGAAGGGCTTCTCTGGGCTTGACTGTAGACAAGAGGGCAGACATACATCTTCCTCCCAGCTCAAAGGGGCCTGTAAGCTCCCTGTTAAACTAATTCATTCACTATCTCTCTGGATCTCTGCTCCTGTTGTGTGGCTTGCTGTCTCCTTAATTTAAATCAGCCCTCAAGACCCACAGGTTCCCCAGCCATGAACTGAAATACTCAGAAAAATAATTGCATGTTCCCTAAACAGGACACTACAACAGCTTCCCCACAGCTGTAGGAAGTATTTCATGCAATTCAGAGATGATGGAAAGTACGCGAGAGGATGCAAACTCCCTTTGTAGGGTGTCTGAGGACCACCGTTGCCATGGATACCGAGGGACCACTGTGCACTGAATGAAGAGATAGAGGAACCATCGTGCCCACTCTATGGAGAGTAAAGGAGTCACTGAGAGGTCATGTGACGGCACTAGGTTCCACAGCCAAAGGTGGAAAAGCATCGGCTAGAATCCTGGCCTCCCCCGCCGTCACTCAGTAGGTCCACCCTCAGAGCTCACAGACCCAATTCTATATGCATGAACATAGGGACGGTTGACCAAAGCCACTTCTTCACACCACTAAGAGGGCTAAAATCAAGATGGACCGTCACTAGTGTTGGTGAGTGGAGATTTCAGAACCCTTATGTCATGCTGGCGGGAATGGAAGGGGTGTGTCTGCTCTGGAGACAGCTTAGGGAGTTTCCTATAAACATTTAAACATAATTCCTTCCCTAGGTTTGCAACCCTGGAAAAATGAAGCCATGTTCTCAACAGAAACTATTCATGCATGCCCATAGACTCATTACTTGTAATTCCAAAGTGGTATCAACAGATAGCCATCAATAGATATAGATAAGTAATTTGTGGTATATCCAAGCCATGAAGGATTTGCCGTTTTCAATGGGAAAGATGGCAAGAAATTTTGATGCATGCTACAACATTGTGCTAAGTTTAACACACACACACACACACACACACACACACACACACACACACACACACACAATCTTTAAGAGCCAATAACTGTCTGTCATGGGGGTGGGGAGGTCAAGAAGTACCACCCTTCTCTGAGGACATATAGGTGGCTAATTGTTGGTGGGGATGAGGCAGAGACATTTTCTTCGGTGATGTAACCACTTGTAAGTTACCCATGCTCCCGTAAGGTGACTCCTCATCCATCCCCTGTCAGCAGTGCCAGTGAATCTCCTTGATTCACCAAGCTAGACCTGGGTAGGACTATATTCTTGAGTCATTGGTCATATCACCCAGAAAAAATAAATACAACAGGGACATAACAAAGGTGAGAGTGTTTCTGGAGTTTCTCCGATAGTTCCTGGGAACACACCCCTGGAGTCTCCTCCATGCACATCTCTCTTTTGGAGCTGCCCATCTCCTGGGATTCTCAGTGGTAATGATCATGCCTTGGATAAACCCCTTTGGCTATGATATTGCTATTTCACAGATCCTCTTCTTTTTCTCTTCTTTCTTGTCCCCAGTTCTAGTCTTTGGAGACAACTTCATAGAGGAAGAGGTGTTTGAGCTAGGGATATATATATATGTGTGTGTGTGTGTGTGTGTGTGTGTGTGTGTGTGTGTGTGTGTGTGTGTGTGTGTGTGTGTATGTGTGTGTGTGTGTATGTAGGAGTGTGACCTTCACCTGCAATGTCATGTTGAAGCAGCACATGTCTTTCCACCTGTGGGACTGCACTTTGGGAGGAGAGGAACCTTGTCTATAACATCCCCAAATCAGGGAACTGAGACGTGAAAGAAACCCCAGCTGACCCATCTCGTCTCCGGATGAGATTCCCCTTATCCCATATGGTCCCTTGCCTGGTCTAGACCTAACGGTGCTTGCTCTGACACAAACACACAGCAAGGACACCCCTATTTTGTCTTAGTGACTTACAGGCTGTGCGGAACGGGATCCCAAACTTGGCTTGGATGTTGTTCACTAACACGATCTGGCCTGTCCTCCTGGAGATCATGTTGGGAAGCAGAACTGGAAGAGACAAGGAGTCCCAGTTAGAAATCAGAGCTGGGCAGGCAGCAGAGGCAGGTCCCCAGCTCCACCTCTTGTCACCCACGGCTCTGCTACCTCTTTGCCTTCTAGATGGCAAGGGACAGAGATGGAGTGGTTCCAGGAAGTCACTGGCCCTGTGTTTCTGAGGGACCAGTTGGCTGGCTCATTGCTGGGTGATTTGAAATGACCCACCAGTACACTAGCTAAGTGACACAGAACTTTCTCCTCTTTCTTCTCTTCCCTCCCTCCATCTCTCCTACTCCCCTTTCCTCCCCTCCCTTCTTTTCTCATCCTCTTTCCTATTTCTCCACTTCCTCCTCCTCCAGTCTGGGTCATCCCTACATGCAGCTTGGAGGGCATTTTCTTCTCATTTCTCCTATTACTTCAAGAAGACAGTTTCCTGTAGTTCCTATCAGGTCTCTTCTGCTGTTTTGAGACAAGATCGCCGCATACAGCCAAGGCTGGTCTGGAATTTGCTGTGTGGCTCAGATAGGCTTTGAACTTGTGATCCACCTGCCCGAACCTCCCACTCCTGAGATTACAGGTGTGCACCACTTCACCCGGCCTCCAGCATGTCTCTAATTCCTCCTCTTTTGCAGGTGAGAGGGAAGAGCACATGTCCTCTGGGCTGTCTGGGAAGATGCACTTGCTTAGTTCTTAGGTGGCTTCTTGTTGGCTGTGAGCGGAAAGGGTTTAGATATATGCTGCTATGATAACATTTCTTCCTCAGGCAGATTTAATATAAAATGAGGAAATGTGGAGAAAGATGGTAACTGTACTGGCAGAAGGGAAAGAGGTCCGGATGAAAGGGAGTGCTCAGGTTTGGAGCTCAGCCCCTCTGCCTTAGAGAAGAGCAAAGGGAGGCCCAGAGCTCCCACCAGACTCTGGCCCCTCAGCACTTGACAGGGAGGCCCACCCAGAAGAAACCAGTTGTGGTGGCCATTCATGGTTGTCAACTGGATGATGTCTGGGATTAACTGAATGCACACATAGAGGCCAGAGGTCGACTTTGGGTGTCTTCTTTGACTGTTCTTCCTTTTGGAGACAGGGACTGTCACTGAACCCGGATCTTGCTATTTTGACTAAATTGGCTGGCCGGCAAGCTCCCGGGATCCTCTTATCTTACCCCTGCCCAGAGCTGAGCTTGCAACCGTGTGCCACCATGCCTAGCTTTTATGTTGTGCTGGGAATCTGGTCCTCATGCTCGCCTTGGACCAGCGCTTTACCCTCCGAGCCGTCTCCCAGCCCCATCTCCTTCATTTCTGAAGACAGAACCTTTGACCAGCTCCCACGGTGAGGGAAGAACAACTGTAAGGCCTTTGTAGCAAAACTTAGGCAAAAGCTGAAGACAGTGGCCCAGAGAGACAGACTCACAGGGGAGCTGTGGATTGGGTACAACGAGAGAGCTACCGAGTGGAATGTGAATCGGGGGCAGAGTTTCACAGTGAAGTGAGAATACACTGGCAAGACACTTCCTTTTTGTGGCCAACATTTACAGCTGGGGACCCGAAAGCTTTCGGTGTTCAAATTCTGAACTTTCTTGGGTTGAAGAAATCTTTCTAGAACCAGATGGCCACCTGGTGGCACCATAGGCCTTTCCATGGCATTTGGTGGCCCACAGACCCAGAGGAAAATGAGACTCACAGGACCTTTGGTGAAGGTGATGGGTCCGAAGTAGTTGGCATCCATGATCTTTTTGTCGAGCTCCAGGGAAATCTTATGGGCAGGCCCTTTCACTTTCACGCTGGCGTTGTTGATGAGGATGTCCACACACCCATAGCAGTCCAGGACCTCTTTGGCAACATCTTGAACACAGCTGATGTCTGAGAGATCCAAGAGGACCAACTTTGGGGTGAATGTCTGCCGGAGCAACGAGAGAGTCAACATATTTGGGATCACTTCCTTGGAGATGTTGGGGGCCCTCCATCAAACAGCTACCCTGCTGGGAATTCAAAGCCATAGACTAACTAAGAAATCAAACCAAGACAGAGAAGAAGGAGTAAAACAATTGTGGGAAGAAGGAGATTGCTGGAGAATCTAGTTTTGGAGACCAGAGCTGCAATTAAGTGCGGATAAGCAGTAGGAAGTCTGAACTTGTGGCCAGGGCTCCTCAACTGATCAAACTGGGTGACCCTTTGGAGGCTGTGAACTGGTTCTGGTGCTGGCATCATAACTTTGAACCACTGGGTTCCTCTTGGAAACTGCTGCTTCCCCGTTTGTTTTATAAGCTACAAGAAAATTCAGCACAGCAGCTGGCAGCTACCCCTTGTTTTGGATCAAAATGGTGTATTCCACCCAGAGCTGCTTCTGAAGCATCTATTATGTGCTAGGTGTTGTACCCATCTCTGGACGCTTGCTGTCTTCAAGATGTTACTGGTTTAGAAGTAAAGATGGGGGTGGGGCTTGATAGTACCCTGGAGTCAATTCAACTTTTGGGCAAATGTTAGTTCTGACATATACTTTTGAAGAAAAGGCTCCCATTGTGGATCATATCTGTCCGGGAAACATTTACTGATCTCCGAGTTCTTTGGGGAGATAGATACACACTCACACAATAAAGGTTCTGAAAAGACAAGCTGAACGGAACTCGGTATTGCCCACACAACTTGACTTTTTACTGAAAACCTAATAATACCCCAAGAAATTCTCCGTGTAGCATTCTGTGAGGGTCTAGTCGATTCCTCTCCTCAAGTGCCAGGTTTAGCTCCCAGTTCCTTTGAGCTGTTTGCAAACAGCAACTTCAAGCTCGGGAGCGAGGGTTAGATTTTTCTTCTTAAAGAGTGCTGAAGGCAACACCTGTGATCTGGGTGGCTTAGGAGGGGGGTTCCTTGATGTCTTTGATGCTACAGTCACTTATGTTGCTTGTCTGAACATCAGCTCTATTTGTAATCATAACCCACAGCTGGTACACTTGTTACCTTTATTTTTTTGCTGAGTCTGACTCCCATAGACTCTGGGATTGGTGCCCATGTTCTGCCATGATGACTGATCAAAACAAGCCAGAGCCTTTTGTTGGGCAGACAGGCCTCTATCTGGGTCAGTGCCATCGACTCTGATTTCTCCCAAGCCACTGTCCCATTTCCCCAGAAACCGCTCCTTAACAAAGACGGAGGCTCGGGGTATCTCAGGCTGTCTGGAGAGGACCTTACCTTGCTGGGGTCAGCCACACTGGTCAAGGTAGCGTAGAGGCTCTCCAGCCCCTCCCAGTTCTTTCCACACAGCACCAGTCTTGCCCCACCTGCATGGAACACCCGAGCACACTCTGTGGAGAAGAGGGAAGGGAGGCAAGGTGTGCTGTGTGAATGGAGCCACAGAAGGGAGTTCCCCTCTTAGGAACTCCTGACGTCAAAAAATCCCGACGTCTCATCCATCACCACGAGGTCCTACTTCTGGAGAAGTCATTTCATTCGATCCCCTCCACAGGCTAGATGTTTTAGGGGTCCTGAGGATTGAACCCCAGCCTTGCACGTGTTAAGGGATTGCTCTAGCACTGAGTGGTACCCTAGGCTAGGCTGACTTGTTGGTGTGTTGTGTTTCTAGCCTCAGCTTGGTTGCTTCCCTGAAGGGAAGCTCACAGCAGGGAGCAGCAGGCTCTGCTTGGCTGGGAGTTCTGATGATGGACATTCCTTACACTGAAGGAGAGAGTCACTAGCCTTTGAGACCATAGCCCTAGGGACTCCTCAATTTGCAGATACTGGTAAGAGTTACCATGTCTGTTTAGACCACATACCACCCGGCCCTCCAGATTTTCTCTGTGGAGAGACTCTAGTAAGGCTCGTTGCTCACAAGGCCACTCTACACAAAGAACTCCAGGCAACTCAGCAAAGCAGGGAGAGGGAGAGATGGTCCTCCCAGGAAAGAGCACACCAACTGGTTGTCCAGTGCCAAATGTTCAGCCCTGAAAACATGCACACAAGTAACATTAGATGAACTCAACAGGTCATATCTATACACATGTGTATGCAAATACTTATATGCTTGCAGTAACAGTTAATGAAAAAAGGGGCCATAAATTTGAAAGAGAGTAGAAGGGGCACATGGGAGGGTTTGGAGGGAGGAAAGGGAAGGAAGAAATGTAATTAAATTACAATCTCAAAAATAAACAAAAAGAAAGACAAAAGATGTTGACTTTGCTTTATGTCTCACTCTGAACTTATTACTGATTAATCCAATATAGGGCTTTCCTTAAGTTTTTAAACATTGATTTATTTATTTGATAGACAAGTTTGTGAGCATTGGCATGTGCATGCCAATGTACATCTGTGGAGATTGGAGGAAACCTGTGGGAGTCTGTTATCTCCTTCCTCCAAATGGGTCCCAGGGATGGAACTCAGGTCACCATACTTGGTGGCAAGCACCTTTACCTACTGAGTCATCATCTCTAGAGCAATAGCTGGCAGATATACAGCATTCACAGGTAACAATAATCCAGACACTTTAAAACAATGAAAGCGCACATGTTTGGACAGTTCATTTGTTCTAAGGATGGTTGGGAAAGACATCCATGTGTTTGCTCAGTTAATTCTTACTATGGCCATGGGAGGTACTAACTTTCTGTGGCGGTTTGAATAGGAATGGCCCCCCATAGGCTTGGTCACCAGGGAGTGGCACTAAGCGGAGGTGTGGCCTTGTAGGAGTAGGTGTGGCCGTGATGGAGGAAGTGTGTCTCTTGGGGTGGGCTTTTGAGGTTTCAAATGCTTAACCAGACCCAGTGTCTCTTTCTTCTTGATGCCTTCTGATCTGGATGTTGAGCTCCTGCCTCCTTCTCCAGCACAGTGTCTGCTTGCATGCTACCATGCTTCCTGCCACAATGATGACACTGGACTAAATCTCTGAACTCTAAGCCAGCCCTAATGAAATGTTTCCTTATAGGAGTTACTGTGGTCATGGTGTCTCTTCGCAGTAATAGGACCCTCAGGCAGTCTCGTGAAGCAGCAGATGGCAGGAAGAGCTGTCTTGCCTGGACCCTCAGATAGTCTTGTGAAGCAGCAGCTGGCATGAAGAGCTGTCTTGCCTGCATGTGAGAGGCCCAGCCTTTGCACCCTTTTGTCCATCACCTACCGACTGCATTATCTCCTCTTGGAGGAAGTGCCTAGACAGCAACACTATAAAGCTGCCAAAACTAGAGCAAAATGTTAACAATTCCAACAGAGGTAAGAAATATTGACAAAAACAGAGCCGGATATTGATGAGCATTTAGTACCCGCATGATAAAGTTAATATATTGAGCCAGTGGGAAAAGAATATATTACCTAAAAAAAATATTTGAGGGGGCTGGTGAGATGGCTCAGTGAGTACCACTCTTGCTGAGGACCTGAGTTCTCAACCCCTGTCAGCCTGTTCACAACCACTTGTGATTCTAGCTCCAGGGGATCAGATGCCTTCTTCTGGCCTCCAAGGGCACTACACTCACATGCATATATTGCCCTACACACACATACACATAATTAAAATAAAATGAATCTTTAAAAAATGATATTTGGGTGCCTGTTTGGGAGATAAAAAGCTAGATGTGTCATATTATAACATACAAAATAGTTAAACGTAAAAAGAGAACCACAAAAGGGCTAGAGATGAATCTGCTCTCTTACATTGGGGAAGGTCTTCTGAGCATGCCCAAAAGAAACAAATTGTATCAGAATTGGTTTATAGATTTTATCCTTAAATTTTTTTTTTTACAGCAAAGACATAAATAAAGAGCAAACAAATTAAGAAAAGTATTTACAACCTATATGTCAGCAAAGGACTTATTTATTCGATATGCAAAGGACTTTTACAAATAAGAAGAATCAACTGGGAAAAAGAAAAAAGCACAGTTAATGAACAGAAGATTAAGATTCAATACTCATGACATGATAAAGAGATGCAATTTAAACCACACACTAATTTTGACCCATCAGATATTGAAAGACAAAACTGATCACAGTCTTAGTGAGATGTGAGCAGTGGGTTTATCTCGCATTTGCTCTAACATATATATGAATTGCTACGGGTTTTGGAAGAAAAACTTGACTGTATCCTTCAAAGGACTTTGATTCATCAATTTCATTTATGTGTATTCCTTCTAAAGCAACCATTAAGAATGTCTACACAGACACAGTTGTAATATTGCTTACCTCAGTACCACAGCCAACAGTAAAACACTGGAAATAATTGCAAATGTCTCATATAATAGGAGGTTGGTTAAGTCAATTACAGTACATCTAGAAAAAATATTTTCAAACCCTTAAAACTGATTTTACAAAAATGAATCTGTTGGTATGAAAAGAAATTTACATTAAAGTCAGTTTAAAATATAAGAGCTTTAGAAGCAGCTTATCAGGGGCTAGAGAGATGGCTCAGTGATTAAGAGCACTTATTACTCTTACAGAGGACCCGAGTTCAGTTCCTAGTACCTACTTTGGGCATGTAAATGCTGTAACTCCAGCTTTGGGTGATCTGACACCCTCTTCTGGACTCCTTGTATATCTGTACTCATGTGCACATACCCATACACAGACACACATAAATAAAATCTTATTTTAAGAGTGTGTCAAACACAACACTACAACTTGAATGTATATGTTTGTGTGTAAAGCAGGATAGTAACAGGGCATTAAGTTGGAAATTTCAGAGGCACTAAAATACAATAGATATAAAATTCCAAAGTTAGTTGCTAGTACAAGATGCATGCTTTCAAAAGAAATAACTGCTTTATTAAGTTCATTCCTTTTGCCCTAAAATAAGACACAAATGGGCCAAGGAGGAGGAGGAAGAAGAGAAGGAGGAGGAGGGGAAGGAGGAGAAGGGCTTAGGAGGCAGGCTTCTCAGTAGAGGACACGATAAGCTTTTGCCCATGGGCCAAGATTGGGATGTTCTTCCTCCCCATCATCTCCAGGAGAGAAGGCATCTGTGGGTCCTTTGAATAGTTTGCTAAGAGTTCTCTATAGCTGGGAACCCAGACCAGACTGGTCTCTATGGAGTTGCCTACCCCTAAACCAGGTCTCAAGGCAAGGAGAGCCATGGGAGAAGTCCACATGCTCCACTTCCCAGAGGTGCAGCTGGATGTTTTGATGGGAGCCTCTGAGGGACACAAAGGTGCCCATAATAGGAAGAAGACACTTTGGTTCCCACCTTGGCCCAGTGCTGGGGCTGAAACCAGCCCCTATGTCAAGCCCCTATATGTCAAGCAAATACATTCTCACTGAGCCGGACCCCCAGCTGTGTGCCCATGCAGCTTGGAGCCATCTTACACTGTGTCCCTTAGGTAACACATCCCTTGCTCTCCTCTATGTCTTCTTTTCTGTTTCTTTATCCCTAGAAAGGTCAGAAACAGTAAGAAGCTTAGGCCAGGGAGAATCGGGGTGGGGAAGGAAATCAAGGAAATTGAACGCATTGATTATGAATTAGTCCTGTTTGACTTGCCTGTTGGGGGTGTGCCGTGATGGAAGGCTTGTGTATAATGTGTATTGTATATAACGGATAATGTACATAATGTCTGTAATCAGAAAGTCCGGAGGCAGCCTGGCCTTTCTTTCCTGTCCAGCTGCAGGAAGAGGTTCCTGTCTGGGCTGATTTGAATGGGACTGATCTGTCCCTGGGCACTCTTGGTCCCCTCCCACAGAACTGACTGAGCTGTCAGCTTCACCACGAAGCAGAAAGGAAGCAGAGCCAAACATCCGCACAGGATGCTCCTCAGGGAGGCAGTTCTATGTGTGTTTTATGTTTTATTACTTAAAAAATTCATCTTTCACAATCGTGGTCTTGACAATTATGGAATTTTTGTCACTTGGTTTGGAGGGAGAAGGCTCAGCTGTGGTTGTGAGTGGTTGAAGCAGGCATGCTGGGTGTGAGTCAGCCATGATGATCAAATTCTCCATATCAGAGCAATGGGGTACAGAGTTGGAAGGAGTTTCCCACATTCCCACCACTGCTAAGCAGGGAGAAGAATGAAGACATGATTCAAGAAGTCTGATGTCCAGGTGGGAGAAACTGTTCTCCACATTAGGCTGCCTCTTGACCAATCTGTAGCTGAAGTTATCTCCAGTCCCGCCCGGGGCCAGCAGCCACTCAGACTCAAATAAGCACACAGATGCTTATATTATTCATAAACTGTATGGCCGTGGCAGGCTTCTTGCTATCTGTTCTTACATCTTAAATTAACCCATTTTTATTAATCTGTAAGTTGCCACGTGGCTTGTGGCTTACCGGTACTTTTACATCTCGCTTCCTCTGTGTCCGGCTGGTGACTCCTGATCCAGCCTTCCTGTTTCCACAATTCTCTTCTCTGCTTGTCCCACCTATACTATACTTCCTGCCTGGCTACTGGCCCATCAGCATTTTATTTATCAACCAATCAGAGCAACACATTCACAGCATCCAGAGTGTATCCACAGCACCAATCCCCACCACTGAGAGGGGGACAGGCTGGGGTTAACTGTCACTCGCCCATTCTCTTTCCTAATGGTGGGGTGTATCTGCAAGGTCTCACTAAGTTGTCCAGGTTGATCTTGAACTCACAGTCCTCCTGCGTCAGCCTCCCACAGAGCTGGGCTTACGGGCCCACACGAGCAGGCCCACTTGGAAATTCTTGGTTCTATTCTTGTTTTGTTTTTGTCGTTTTTGAGACTGGGCCTCACTGCTTAGCCCAGGCTGGCTTCCAGCTGAGTGATCCTGCTGTCCTGCTGCAGTCTCCCAAACACTGAGATCACAGGATTGATGGGTAGTCTTCTTGTCAGTTTGACTAGATTTGGAATCACCTGGGAGACTGAGGCACACCTCTAGGTGTGTTTCCAGGGTGTTTTTGAGAGGGACGGCTGAGGGGGGCAATCATCCTGAATGTGGGAGACACCACCCCACAGGCGGGAGACTTGGGGTGAATGAAGGGGAAATTTGTGGCACTCCCTCATTTCCTGTCTTTCCTTCTTCTTCCGCGGTGATGTAAAGGAACTTAGCTCTTCTCTCTTGCCCTGCCTGTCACGGTGGACCAATTCCTTTGAAGCTCTTCTTTCTGTCCTGCCAAGCATTTTGTGGCAGTGCCTCTGTACTCCAACCCTTACGTTTACTCATTTGTTTAATTTATTTATTTTTGAGACAGTATCTCAGGTAGCCCAGGCTGGTCTCAAACCCACTGTGTAGCTGAGGGTGACCTTGAATTCCTAATCCTCCTGCTAGAATTACAGGTGACCACATCCAGCTTTAGTTTGTTATCAGCTCAGCTCAGTATTCGTCTCCCATCAAGCATTTCAACGCTGCCAACGGTGCCCTTTCCAACTAATAAACACAAACTGGGCACTTACTTGCTTGTTTCCTCAGATCTAAGACGCCAAAGAGTGTAAAGCGATTTCTGATTCCGGAGACAGTGAAGTGAGGAAGGCTGGCCTGGAGGGCCTATGAGATGTTGTTGTGGGTGGCTAGGTTTCAGCAGTGTTTAAAGAAGACTGGCATCTTGGGGGTTGTGAGAACACAGGCCGGGATAGCATCCAATCAGCTCTCCCTGAAGGCCAAGTCCAGTGCTGAGGTATTTCGATTGTCACTCTTGTCGCAGACCCAATGAGTACAAGGTAACACAGTGGTTGACCTGATTGACATGTGATGGTTTGGGATGAGGACTAGATGTCTGGATTTGGGCTGTTCCCTTGATTTCCCTCGTCTATAACTACCCACAGGGTTCATCCTGGCTCTAGGGTACCCGGGCACAGTATGGGCTACGTGTAAGCCACTCCGTGCTTGAGCGGCTTTACTTTTTCTTGCCTTGAGGTTGAAATGGAGCAGCTGGTGTCTGGGATTGCTGTCATCAGCAGCACACGGAAAGCAGGCATTTATTTAAAGTCACACACACCCAGGGTCTCAGGTTACTTGCAAATACTTGGACTTCATTCCTTTCTGCTTCGCATTTCTGCAGGGTTGGGGGTAGAATCGGGGAGGTGGGAGGTACAAAGAGCCAGTGAGATGCAGTCCAAGAGAACAGTGATTGGAATCTTGACTGCTTGGGCTACATTCTTCGGCAAACCCCTGTGGTGTATTTCCTGGGGTCCTGACTTATGTGTGATATAACCCAATGAGATTAAAAAAAAAAAAAAAACACTAACTGGGATTGTTGAAATAAACACACAACCCTCACCCAAGGAGAACAGTGGTTCCACGTAGTAACACAGAACATTCCAAAGACAGGATCTGAACAGCATCTTCAACGACAAAATTCAGCTAACATTTGCAGGACCATCTACCCAAGCACAGCAGTGGGAGCGTTCTTTCCCAGCCCTCTGGGAACAGACTGAATGGCAGGCCACAGCCACACCAGAGAGCAAACCTTGACAAACTCAAAAGAACTGAATCATGCAGAGTTCATTCTCTGGCCGTATTGGAACCAAAGTGGAGATCAATTAAACCGATATTCATGAACATACTTATCTGGGTGCCTTCCCTGATCAAACGGCCTCTAGATGCTGGTCCTTAAATGTACTTGTTGCCTGTCTCATTGCTGTGAACAAATCCTGTCAGGAGCAATTTATAGGAATAAAGGTTTGTTTAGGTCCAGGTTTGAGAGGATCCATTCTGCCAGGGAGGCACAGGGCAGCAGCTGGGTCTGTGCTGATGGAAGTTGGAGGTGACAGCCTGTGTTGAGGAGGAGAGTTGAGAAGGTATAACCTTCCCAAGCCTGTACCTCATGACCTACTGCTGCCAGCCAGGCCCCTCTTCTAGGGCAGTGGCTCTCAACCTTCCTAATGCTGTGACCATTTAGTACCATTCCTCATGTTGTGGTGACTCCCCACAACCACAAAATTATTTTCGTTGCTACTTCATAACTGTAATTTTGCTACTGTTACAAATCACAATGAAAATATCTCCATTTTCTAACGGTCTTTGGTGACTTCTTGAAAAGGTCATTTGATCCCCAAAGGGTTTTGCAACCCACAGGTTAAGAACCACTGTGACCTTGACCCAAAGACACCACAGCTTCCAAAATAGCACTCAAAACATGAGTCTGTTGGGGGACAGTGCAGATTCAAAACAAATTTTTAAAAACATTTATTGAGTGTTTACTAGATGGAAAGCATTGAGGTAGGTGTGGGGGCATTAGCATGAAGGACGCCAGGTCGGTGCTGGTGAGCATGCGCAGAACCTTAGGATGTGGGAAGGCAGGTCTCTGGGGGCCACCTGAAAGGATGGCACAGTTAAGGTGGCAGAGAAGGCTCCAGGGACCTGGCCTGCTCCTAGACAAACATATTCTACTTGGAGAAAGAGTGTCCCACAGCCCATGACTGAACAGTTTCAGGTGAGTCCCTCTTGTGACTTTCCCAACAACACTGTGGTCTTGTGTCTGGTCTGATGGGCAAACTAGAGTGTCCTGGTCCTGGGGAAGACTGAGCTTTGGGTTTGTGTGTCTCCACACCTTTTGAGTGCCAATCCCAGTGAGTCAGGGTAGCCTATTTGGCAATTGCTCCAGAGGCCACATCCACTCTGTTAGGCTTAATGTCTTCTTTACCTGCCATGGCTGACCCAAGGCACACACTCACTGAGACCTCACCCAGCCTCTTATCAGGGAGACATGCTACCTCTGGGGACGAACAAGCAGCAGGCTGTGGGAGAAACCTCAGAGACAGGGCCATAGACGTTCTCCCAGTGGCTACACCATAGGAGGAAGTGCACCCCGCACCCCCAGAGACTCTAGAAAAGGGGATACTTAGGACAACATGGACCCATTGGCATCTGTTGAGCAGCTAGTGGATGGTTGGCTATGTGGGTTCTATGCTGGATTAAATAACAAAAATAACAGCAGAAATTGTCATTAATTTATATAACAGGATTACACTGCCATCATTAGGAATAATAGAATCCTGCTAAATCAAAAGGATATTCCTCTCACAAAGGCCACAAGGAGGAGGGCCCAGGAGACTGTCTTACTTAGGGTTTGTGAATGAAAATGCCTTCAAGACCAGGAAGTGAGATGGTGGGAGGCAGTAGTCACGTGGGACACAGGAGGTGAGTGGACGCTGTGGAACATGTATTCAACATGACCATCTCTAGCAACACTTGAATGGTGGTGGCCACTTGTTGCAAGTTCCACCCATGTGCAAATTCATTTGCACATTCCAAAGTGGAGACTGCTGTCATCCTTGATCTACACATGGGACATTGAGGTCACATAGGTGAAGGCGCCTGCTACTTAAGTGCAGGAACCAGGATTGAAATCTAGCATCCTAGTCTGGTCTCATATCCAGTATGCAGCTCCAACTAAGGGCTTGGCATTTCAAGATTTCTGGAAACTCCTGAAGCAATCAAACCCAATACTTTCCTAGCACTGGTCCTTGAGTTTGCAGCCCTAGGCATCCCAACCCTGCCAATCACGGGGCAAGCAAGCTTCAGTCTCTCAAAGAGAAGAACCCATTGAGTTGACTCCTCCCTATCAGCAGGTGTGCTCCACACCTCCACAGATCCCTTGTGGGCAGAGATGGGCACATGTCCAGGGGAAGCCAGCTTACCCTTTCCCAGTCCTGAGATGGCATCGGTGATGACGACCACTTTGTTCTGCACGGCAGACTTTGACCACAGCCTGGATGCCTCCTGATAAATGAAGAGCAGGCCACTGATCCCCAGCAGGAGCAGGGGCAGCATCAGGACAGCCATGATCCCCATCTTGCTCTGCAGGACAGCAGGACAAACGATTGGCTTTGCAGAGGCCCTGATGGCAACACCCAGGGCAGGGGGAGGTTCAAGCTCCCAGCATTCATTCCCTCCAGGCCCAGGATCTGTTCTCCAGGGAACTGGGCTCTGCAAGCTCCCGGGAGGTTCTTTTCAGCCGATCAGCAAGGAGCATGTGGATCCCCAGATGCTCAACAAATAGAAATTACTCACGGTGTCTCACACTGGAGGAGTCCTGGGGGCCTGCCCTCCCCTAAGGCTAATTACAAATTTAATTAAAATGGGTCTGCATTTTTGGAAGGAAATCCATGTGTTAAGGCCACTTGCTTGGGCCCTAATGGTTATTTATAGCTCTCAGTTGCACTAAAGGGCTTTTCAGGGTAAATATAGTGTCTATTCTGATATTCAGGGACACATGCTGGCCGGGTCTGATTTCAGAGTTCTTGCCAGGACTTTTAAAGCTTTACTGGCTGGCGGGACTATTAGAGTTTCCTCTAGTTTGGGCGAAGAGTCAGAGATCAGTCCCTGGGATTGTCAGCACAAATGCCTGTGCCTTTCTTTCCTGCACTGGGTACTTGCAGGTGGCTCAGACCTAGGTAGACACCGAGCCGTCTGGCTTTCCCTTCCTGAGTGGGGATGGGGATGAGAAGCAAAAAAAGCTGGTCAGTGGAATGGAACCTGTTAAAAAAAAAGTCCACACAGAAACGTGGCATCAAAGAGCACTGTGTAGAGAGCACTTCTTGTCTTTGCGAGGCTCGGGTCTTTCTCTCTAAAACAGGAATGATAGTTTTATTTTGCAGATCTCTTGGGGTACAAAATAAGATCCTGCCTCTCTCGAACCTGGCATAGATTCTGAGTCTCCAGGAGGTAACTGTTGCTATCTTTAAAAAAATTATTATTTTTTATTTATTTTACAAACCAACCAGTTTCCCCTCCCTGCTCTCCTCCTGTTCCCTCCCCCCACCTCCTTCTACTCTTCATCTACTCCTCAGAAAGGGTGGGGCCTCCATGGGAGTTAACAATGCATGCCATTGTTAGGCAAGTTGAGGCAGGACTAAGCCCCTCCCCTCTGCATCAAGACCCAGCGAGGCATCCCATCAAAGGGAATAGGTTCCAAAGAGCCAGCTCATGCACCAGGGACAGATTCTGGTCCCACTGCTAGGGACTCCATAAACAGACCAAGCTACACATCTGTCATCCATGTGCAGAGGGCCTAGGTCAGTCCCATGCAGGCTCCCTAGCTGTCATACAGAGTTTATGATCTCCCCCAAGCTCTGGTCATCTGTCTCTGTGGGTTTCCCCGTCATGATCTTGATTCCCCTTGCTCATATAATTCCTCCTCCCTCTCTTCAACTGGACTCCCAGAGCTTGGCCCAGGACTTGGCTATGGATCTCTGCATCTGCTTCCCCCAGTTACTGGATGAAGGCTCTCTGTTGACAATTAGGGTAGTCTCTGTGGGTCTCCTTCCTTCCAGCTCCAATGGGGAACTACTTCTCAATCTTTAAATGGGTGTAGTAGTTTGCATTTGTGTGTGCGTATGCACCTTTTCCTTTGTAAACTTTATTTAAATAGAATCACAGAGTTGACACTTCTGCTCAGCATCACATTTGTGAGATTCATCCACACAGTGGTATAAAATTGGAACCGTTAATGGTTATTGTGTGAATCCATCTCATGTTTTCAGTTTGTTCTTCTGAGAGTGGGCATGTGCAGGCACCCTGGGGCAGGTGTGCTTCTTATTCTTTATTATTATTAATTAATTAATTTTCTTTCATTTAGTTTACATATAGACCACAGTTTCCCCTCCCTCCTCTCCTCCTGTTCCTTCCCCCCAGCTCCTGTCTACCCTCCCCATCCACTTCTCTATCTCCATTCAGAAAGGAGCAGGTCTCCCATGGACCGCAACAAAGCATGATGCTTCGTATTCTTATGAGACAAAGAAGATACATTAGATTGCAATATAGACATGAAGAAGGATGCCTGGTAGCCGGGGTTAGAGAGATAGTCCCATAGTCACAGAGTCTAAGACAAGGGATTGGGGGCATAGTTGGGTCAGTTAGTCTGGAACACACCAGGGAAGGTTAAGGTAAGGACATCCATTTGGGGGCTATCACAGGTAGGTAGGAGCGCCATTAGATCTGAGTGAGACCTTTGAGGGGACATACCTGAAGGCTGAACTCTTGGGCACTTGGATGTTTAGAGGGTGGGGACCGGAAGAGGAATTAGCAAAGGGTAAGAAGAGGAGTGGCCAGTGTTCTGTCAGGGACCAAGAAGCCCCGTGTTCCGGGAGCACGTGAAGGCTGTCTTGGGGAGACTGCTAAGTTAATTAATCTGGAAGCTACTGGCCTGAGGCTGCCTCTGTGCCATGAGTTCCCAGGTAATAAACTGGAATCGAATTTAGGAGGTTTTTGTTTTGTTCTGTTTTAGTAGCAAATAGCCGAGTTTCACCCAATCACAGACAACCAAGCCAGTTTCAGTCAGCTGACCAGCCCACGCCCCATAAGGCCCAACTCACTCACTGGAGCAGATCCAGTGAGTTTTCTACGTGCCTTCCAGGGTCACCTGTAAAAGCCTGTTGCTCATGTGGCTGGAACTGCTGAGTTCTGCGTCTTGCCCAATTCATGAATCATTCTTTGGTCAAATAAACTGTTAGGGTTAATCTAGTTAATTCGCTGAGTGTTTTTCTTCTAACAGCTGATCTGTGTTGGAGACCACTGCTTGGTCAAGTGAAGACAGGGCCTGAGAAGTGACTGTACCATTAGCAATGACTGACAGGAGCCTCTCAGGTCAAGGGCACCTTGCGTTCTCAGTACTGCGGTGGACTTAGCGCCAGTGCTTCTGCAATGTGCCATCCCTGCCTGGCGGTTTCCGACCCACCCACGTTCCTTAGACCATAGGCTTTGAAATCTGTCTTTCATATACCTTGACATTTGGAGGAAAATGGCTACAGCTTTGAAGGGTGGTCCCAGCCCCGCCTGCAGATCCTTCAGCAAGGGGCTGAAATATACTAGGCCCCTTCTACATCCCTTCATGGCCCTAGCGGGAAGGATAAGAACACAGGTGCCCTGGTGTGAAGCTGTGTTCAGCCAAAGATGGAGGTCCCAGGGCACCTTCAGTTGTGTTGGTGACAATGTCAGTTCACTGCTTGTCAGGAGGGCTTCCTTTCTTTAACTTAATCACCCCAGGACAGACACGAAGTTTTCCAACCAGCATGTACTCTTCAGTTCACTGAGAATTCCTTCAAGCGTCTGTTTTACTGCCCCTTTTGGGGAAGAAGACAGTTTGCTTATCTTTAAAGTTGTAGGATTTTTTTTTCTCTTCGTTTTTTTGCCATGCTGACATGGAACCCATGAGTATGCTAGATGAGCCCTCGACCACTGAGCTGTATGTACACCAGCTCTGAAATGATGTGTTCTAATCCAAGTATCAAGAGCAAAGACTGAGTAGTTTAGATACATGAATGTTTGGGGTTATCCTGGAAAGCCTGGGATGGGTGAAGAACCCTCTAGGTCAGGGCTGGTCCCACCCACTTTCTCCTCTTGTCCCAAGCAGAAGTCACACTCAGCTTTAAACTGGACCTAGAACCCCGCCCCCCCCCCCCCCCCAGTTTGTCAGTGAGTCAGAACATAGTGTTCCCTTGGTCCCTTCCTCCCAGCCTCTCTTACCCCTTCATTCATCCACGTAGACAGCCAAGCGCCCTGAACCAAGCTGGTTCCACGAGGAGAGGGTGAGGAGGGACGGGGATGGAAGATGGCCTGCTAGGACTCAGACGTCAGCCTTCCAAAGTTCACGCCATTCTTTGGAAGTAGAGATGCTGACACAGTGCAGAAAGCTCACCACGAGTTGAGCAGTCCTAGTGCGGAGATCGGACACCTAAATCCAAAACTTGTGTTAGTGGGACACAACAAGTGGAAATACTCATCTGTGATGCTCTATTTTATGCACAGAATGATTTAAATCACAGTATCAACTCATTGCCAGGCTGTGTGTATAAGGTGTTCGTGAAACACGAATTTCATGTTTGGCTTGGTGCCTTTCCCAAGATACCTTATTTTATATGTGCAACTATTAAAACACACAAATAAGTGAACAAATGAAAAAAATCTAAAAACCCACCAGAAACATCTCCACTCTGGAGTGTATTGGGTAAGGGATGCTCCAACTTCTTCAGTGCACCATTGTGGAGGATCAGGATGTAAGACATGGCCTGAGGTTAGCACCTTGGCTGGGTCTGGCCCATCACTAAGGCTATGTCAGCCTTTCTTCCTGGTAGGTCTTTCTCTGATTGCTGTTCTTTCTCCTCCACGTCTTCCCTCAGTGCATGGCGGAACCATTCCTGGGGCTGTCGGACATGTTTGGCAGAAGGATGGGTGCTCTCTTTATGAACAAAGGCAATGCCGTCTTCTGCAGGTCTTTGAGGTGTGGTGATGTTGGAGGTCACAGGTGAAAGATGAAGGTACCAATATGAGTACTTTCATGTGTATGCATGCAGTGTATAGGTCTCTGCCGTTCTAAACCATGTTACCCTTTGCCCTATGTACATGGCTTCTAGGCTGATGTTACCCTTTGCCCTATGTACATGGCTTCTAGGCTGATGTGCAGGGTTGACTAGCTTGCTATTATTCTTCAGGCTGGAAATAAGACTTGATTTGTTGTATAAAACATTTTCTAACAGACTCCCTCTTAGAAATGGGTGCCCATCTATGGAGGCCTTCATGCTTGGGGGGATGGCTGGTGGAGAGGGAGAGACAAAGGCTGGACGGGACTGTGATTGTTGAACTAGCTACTGAGGGGTTGCTGGGGCAGATTTGTGTCTGACAAAATTAATTGTCTGGAATATTATTTATCCTTTTTTTTTTTTAAAAAAAAGGGAAAAAATTGTGAGACATACAACATGGAAGCACCTTGAGGACATTCTCTTATGTGAAATAAGCCAGTCACAAGAGACAAATACTGCATGGCCCCACTTGTGTGAGGTCCCCAGAGTGGTCAAGCCTGGAGACAGAAGAGGTACTGACCGCCAGGGGCTAAGGAGAGGGGTGGGCTAGTGTTTAATGGGCACAGGGTTCCACAGGTTCTGGGGGAGAGGAAGTCATTCTGGGGATGCACGGTGGAGATGCACTTCTGTGCAAATATTCTTGATGCCACCGAACTGTGCACTTGAGGTGGGTGGGAAGGGAAAATTATGTGATACATTTTAACCCAATAAAAAAGATGGAAAGGAAAAGGTCTGACCCCCTTCGAGAGACAACAGAATTAGGTGGTTTTATTCCTGTGATTTTTTTTCCAAGACAAGTTTGTGTGGTTATGGAAACAGTTGGAGGGGACAGACATGTTCAACAGTCTAAAGGTGTAGTGCCCAGGGTTGTCAGGTACTGCTCTGGAGAGGGCAAAGAGAAGGGTCGGGGAGGGGAGTACTAGCTGTTCATCTTACATTTTCTTTTCTTTTTCTTATAAAGGGAGATGAGTGGCAGCCATTGCAAGTACTTGTGTTAAGTCTGAGTACTGGGTAGAGTAGGAGTGTCTGTCCCGTTATTTCATATAGTTTATACCAAACCAGTTTTACAATTGAAATGAGAAAATAAACTAGAATAAGCCAGGGAAGAGGAAGAGTCAGGTGGATTCTGTCTGAATTCTTGCAGTCTGTCCTCAAGTCTCTCGTTTTGATTTGCCATCTTCTTTTCTTCCACATCTTGGTGTAGAAGACATTCCTCCCTTGGCTGCATGGAACAACTCAAAATCACCCTGGCTCTTTCTGCCCTACCTTCCTGAGGCAATGCTACTGAAGAGAGCAACAGATATGTTTGGCCACCCACATGGGTCCTTGACATGTCCTATAATCTTTAGAGGTTTGGACAATTTTCCAATCCGCCCTTTCTCGCCCACTGCACCCAAGACTGAAGTGTTTCCGTGACTGTCTCAGTCCCACCTGTGGTACCCATCCAGGACTCTATGTACATGCTCCTTGTCTGTATTTAAGGAGTCAAAATGCTTCAGTAGCAAACCTGATTCCAGCCTCAGTTTCCAGGGCTCCAAAGACGTCCTTCTCAGAGGAACTACCAGCTGTGTTTCCTCAGGGAGCTCACAGAAGTACAGCTCTCATCATTTCTGGAAGACATGGGTCAAACTGATTCCCAAGGAGGGGATGGGCTTGAGTGCTGAATCGCCAGTTGTGCTGAAACCGTTGGCTCCCTTTTCCCTGTCCTTGCCCATGAACCTTGCCCACTCTTACCCAGCTACCTCCTGACAGCTGCATCCTTCTTGGCACCTGGAAAGAGGGCCACAGGACTCTTTCTCCTGAGTTCCCTGACCCCTGGCAGGGGAGGTCACTGAGGGCCAGGTTGGGTTCCAGTGAAAGATGGGCTCCTTGTGTGGAACATCTAATGCCTGGACGCTACCTTGTCTGCTGGTGTGGATTCTGACTGTGGGCCAGTTCTTCAAGCACTGGCCCCCGCTGGAATTCTAAATTCTTTCACGCAGGAGAAGTGGCATGGTGCCTGTGGCATTGTAGACACCTGATAAAACTCACCAATGGGTTAACCAAGGACAGAGAGCTTCCAGGTTAAAATGGCCAGTGGGTTTTTGTGCCTACATCCTGGCTGTCTCCGAGACAGGGGCACTGAGCTTTTTGCTCCCATTCAAAGTCACACATACCCTAAATCATTTATTTATTCCACGAGGACCCACCCTCTAACAGCCATTCAGCCATTAACTCATCACTTAGCCCATTGATGCCCTCATGATCCAAGCACTATCAATAATGCCCCTAGGTGGGGACCAGTTCTTTAACACAAATGTAAAATGGTCCCTTTTACATCCAAACCCAAACAGGCAGATTTTCTGGTGTAGAGTTCATGTTCTTCATCATGACCATATTATTTCCCATGAAATTATTTTTGTAAGGCTATCTGGCTCTGTGTGTGTGTGTGTGTGTGTGTGTGTGTGTGTGTGTGTGTGTGTGTGTGTGTGTGTTGAACTTTATACAAATACACACACATATATATATATATATATATATACAATTATACACACACACACACACACAATAAACACATAAACAAACAAATGTAAATTCTCTTAAATTCCTCTGAGCTAGGACATATTTAAGGTTCTTGGGATCTGGCAGTCTATGCTCTTTCCACTACCTGTGGCTTCATCCCATGCCAGTTTAAAACAGGAACTAGATTGATACAGGATCGTAACCGAACACACCAGGAAGTCCAGAGCACAGCGCCACCTCCCACGAGGCCTGCCTGCTTGGCAGAGTTTATTTTTAGACGCAAGAATGCCTGGTGATTTAACTGGAGCAGGACAATCCAAACAGTTGTTCCTCTTCACTGTGATAAGATGTCATTCCACTTCTTTCTATTGTTTCTCCATCCTTCCAAGCTGGCTTCATCATAAATAGACATTATGGATTTATTTTGAGTCAGAGCCCCTCTACTATGTAACCCTAGCTGTCTTGGAACTGGCTATGTAGACAAGGCTGGTTTTGAGCTCTCAGAAATCCACCTGTCTCTACCTCCTGAGCTCTGAGATTAAAAGCCTGTGTCCCCACACTTGGTGAAGAATATTTTTAGGCAACAAAATTTATTTTAAAATTTCCTTTTTCTTAATGAAAATTAGAAAGTATGGTATATTCACACATTTCCCGTGTCAACTAGAGAAAACTATTCTGGTTTTGTCCGTCACTAAATCCATGCAGGTAACATATTCCAAATCTGCTGTAAGGGATGGGGAGTCTTTTCCCTTGTCTTCTTTTCCCCTTAAGACTTTCATGATTCTGCTTCCTTTGGGAGACTTAGTAAGCACAGAGCCAGGGAAGCCTAGGATGTTATTTTATACTAGGGTGTCAGTAGTTGATACCTTCCACAGACATTATCTCCTCTAAAGATACTGGCATTGTGGGAGGCATGAGAGGCTGAATCCAGAGGTGGGTACCGGAAGGTTTATCTATACCATAGTCTTCTGAACCCCATTGTGGTAACAAGTGCCTGGTTCATCTGCAGGCACACAAAGCTAGCACACAGACACTTTGCCTCCTGTTCCTAGGGGATGGTGTCCAGGAACATTCACGAAGACTTGTCCCACAGAGCGGGGAGCAGCTCCTGTCTGCCAAACCAGCTGTGATGCCTCAGGCTGTGGGATGGTGTGCTGAGGGTACAGACCGCCTCTCTGTGCCCTTGGCTTCTCTGTGTGGGTGGAGGTGTATCTGCTCATGGTCGCCACTGCCACAGCCATACAGAGGGCGAAAGATCCCCAGGCAAGGCTGCAACAGAAGGCAGAGTTAGGAAAGGCCTGAAGTGGGATTCCAGGACTGCCCTGGGGTTGGCCACCCACATGGGGGTAGGGAGACAGTGCTGTTATCCACGGGGATGCTGTTTTGTGCCTGTAGGTGCCTCGTACGGTCAGGTTGGGAGATTTCCCTTCACTGGACGGATTTGTTGCGGAAGCAAATTATAAAATTCTGCACTTCCTGGAAAAGGGTAAGGTAGGAGACAGCAGGTTTTTCAGGAAAGAATGACTTCAAGAGCTCATTCCACTCTCCACAGCCTCCCTGAGGGAGAGTGTTGGAGCCACAGTAGGGAGAGACCCGAAGGGGTGGCAGGCTGTTGTGAGAGGAGTGAGTGATCCATGAAAGACAGGAGCAACACACAGTATTTAGGGACAGGGGTTCCCAGAAGACAAGGAGGAGTATATTGCACAACTCCACCGAGTCCTCGAGAGGCCATCACACATGCACACACACACACACACACACACACACACACACTCACTCACTAGGATATCAGGCAAAAGTCTGACTATGGACGATGACTGACTGGCCCTCAGATGTCTTCCACACCACAAACATGACCCCACACCCCTGTGCCTAGGAGAGCACAGGTTCAGTCCCTGAAGACACAGGCACAAAGGGCCCAGAGATGGGAGGATGTGTGGGAAACAGAGGGGAAAGCTGGTCTGAAGATAGGCTTGGTATGAGAATGGGCTGTAGAGCAAATGCTGTTTTGCTCTTTTCTCATGCCTAACCTCAGAATTAAGGCTGGAAGGCAAGCAGAGGACATCTCCCCTCCCCTTAAACCCCCCTCCCACCACCAGAAAGAGAAACAAAAAGAGAAAGAGGACTGATAAGAAAAGAAATAGGACCTTTGGATGATGAGCCCCAGTGACCCAGCTAGGATGAGTTACAAGAGAACAGAAAAGCAAGCAGAAGAAATAGTCAAAGAAGCGACACAGTAGGAGTTCCCTGAAGTGTGGGGACAAGATAAGCAGCTTGCCAAGCGCATGGAAGTAGGAGGAACGTGATGGAAAGAACATCCCATCAGAGGACATCCTGACCCTTGCCGAGAAGGCAGTAGTCAGAATGGTGTTGAACCCTTGACAGCAACAACACACGTAGGAAGAAAACAGAACTGTGCCTTCAAAATTCCAAGGGCAAATGATTCTCAACAGACTTTTGGACATTTTTTAATGTACCAGATAAGCATCGTTCTGGATATGCAAGGACTAAAATAGCCAATCTCTGTCTATTGATCATTCAAGTGTGGATAATGCTGGCGATAAGGCCTCAGAACCCAGGGCACTAGTTAAGCTGGAAGCCACTCCAGTGACCCAGGTGGAAGGAATAGTGTCTGGAGTCTCAGTTATAAAAAATCAACATCTTCTGACTGGGGAGGCCAAAGCTGAGAAGGGTTTAGAAACAGGTGCCTCATGAAGATTAATGGCAGGATGAGGGAGTAATTGCTAAAAATGAGTTTTACAGACGGGAAAATAACTGTCAGCACCAAAGGAAATAATACAAAGACAGTTCTCCAAGCAAAGATGTTATTTGGCACAAATAACAAATCGAAGTGCAATCTAGGACACCTGGACTGACAGTGGTAGCCTCTGGCATTTCTGGAGAATGAAGGAATAGGCTGGTTACTGAAAAAGAAAAATGGATGAACTGTCTTGTGTCCATTAGGAGATGGGAAATGATGATTGGCTGGTGTCAGTAGTTTCTAGGTAAGATTTGTAATCCTGGTGGTACATCTTGATCCTTGTGATTTGGGGTCAAGCTTGTGCTGCACTCAGTGTGTTGGGGGGTTCTTGTTCAAGTGACTGACTCTCCTATGCCTCTAGGTGTCTCGGTGTAGGTCACAGTACATTCTTGCCTAGAATTTTTTTTTTCAAAAGTTCCAAGTATCAGGAGAATTATGAGTGAGTGCTCTCAGTGTATGGCTTTCTTTGGCTCTATTTTGTCAGGTTTTGACACGAGTGACTCTGTTTTGAAGCTGGCAACTTTCTCCCAGCGTTAGAGGTTATTGTGTGGGATGAAAATGTAAGTGTAAGTACATTGGTTTTTAAGATCCACTATGTTTGGGGCTCGTGAAGCAGGTCAGCAGTAAAGCACCTGCCTAGCATGTGTGAGTTCCTTGGTTTGATCTCTACCACTGCAAAACCAAGAATTTACAAAGAAATAAAGAAATCCCCTGTGGTCTTGTGTGATATGACTGAGTCTTTCCAACAGAAATAGAAGCTAGATCTGTGTAGCACGAATCTTAAAAGTTCTTATTAATAAAAACAAACTTGGAGCCAGGCATTGGGGTGAATGCTGAAAGATCAGAGAGACAGAACAAGCCACAGCTTCCTCACCTCACAATTCCTCAGCTGATCCTGTTTTCTCAGACTGGAAGCCTCTGTGTCCTTATCCAAATGGATCTCAGCTGAACTGCTTCTTAAAAGCCTGAAAGCTTAACCAGGCCAAAAACTTCTAGTTTCTGGTCTTCATGCCTTATATACCTTTCTGCCTCCTGCCATTACTTCCTGGGATTAAAGGCATGAGTCACCATGCTTGGCTGTTTCCAGTGTGGCCTTGAACTCACAGAGATCCAGGTGGATTTCTGCCTCTGGAATGCTAGGATTAAAGGCGTGTGCTACCACTGCCTAATCTCTTTGTTTAATATTGTGGCTGTTCTGTTCTCTGACCCCAGATAAGTTTATTAGAGTGCACAATATTTGGGGAACACAATACCACCACAGGTCTGAAAGGATCAAGCTCAAGAAAAATTTCTCCAATCTGTGTTTAAAAAATCTAGATTTTTACCACTTTCAAGTATTTAATAAATACAACATCTTTATTCTCCACAGCCTGATGGTAAGGCCCTATTGCTAAAGACACAACTTATATATGTCATTGAAGATGGAAGAATCAAGATGATGCCCAGATAGAAGCTTTACACCTACTGAGTAGCATTCATGGTAATTGAAGATACATTGTATGTTAACAGAGGAGAAAGGTAATCACCAATATCACCCAGCTACAAGCTCTGCAACCTACGACTGTTACTTGTAAGATATATTGGTGTAGTAGAGGCACAGATGTTTTAGGAGTAACCAACCACTTTTTAAAATTGGATTTAAGGTCCACTCCTTAAGATGGAATCCATACCTGACACTGTTAAAGTGGAAAGAATCTGAGACTAGATAGGTCATGGGCCCTAGTGGGGAACCTACTACTACTATTATTCTATAAAAGGAACACAGCAATAAAATGACTTCCAATGACATACCGCTATACCCATAGGTCAGAGCACCAATCAACTCTCAGCAGAGAAGCTTCTTCTTGCAGTAGATGGTAATGAACACAGAGACCCACAACTGGACAAAGTCCAGAGAGTGAGAGACCTTGGAGCACTCAGCTCTAAATGAACACCTCAGACAGGCATACATGCAGGCAAAACACCAATGCACACAAAATAAAAATGAATAATAAAAAATTTAAGAAAATAGATTATTAAAAAAACTCTTAAAAAGTCAAGATAAGTGATTTCACTCTACAGCTGAGAAGTATGGATTATAGAAAGGTTATAATACCATCAAAAGTGACAGGAGTGACAGGTATTAGACCTATGACAATGTCTATTTTTCTACAAAAATCTATGTTCATCACTTCTGGTTCACCAGAGCTTGAGCATGGTAGCCAAGCAACTTACCAATAGGACCAGCCGTAGTCCCATGTCTGGGGCCGCCAATCTTCTGGTCCCAGGTTCACAGTGATTTGAAAACTAGTTGTGTACATCATATGGGCCACCATGCCCAGGAGCCCTGTGTAAGTAAAGCTTTGTGAGCTACAGTTTAGAACACAACACAATGGAAAATCTGTTCTATCCTGGAAGTGTTGGATGCTGGGAGTACTCTAGCATCCATACATCCTTATATAGTATCAACACTTACACCCCCTTAAGCACTCCATCTGATACCTCATTCCCACAGTAGAAACTAAAGGGACACCCAGAAGCAGGCCTGATCATAACCAAGAGAAACATAGTAGATACCAGGACCTGAGCAGGAATCTTCACACGTCTATGATCCTGCTTTTTGCTATGGAAGATCTAGCAATTGGATTTTTATCTTTCTACTTACTGATGCTAAGACCTAGGCAAGATGTGTTATGTTCACCAAACACAGGGGTGATGCACAAGTTGGATTGATACACATTAACAGAACTTTATGTGTCTGTGTGGAGGCTGGAAGGAAGCCATATGTGCAGGGTTCTACCTTGGTGGAGACATTAATTTTATGTACCTTAGAAGGCCAAATTAAGTCGTTTAGAGAACAGAAGTAGCATTAAAAAAAGGAGTCCTTTGTGGAGCATTTATACCAAATGTTTGCAATAATTTTTAAGATATTGAAATGTATGTAGTAGGTACACTCCTCTTTTGTCTTCACCAGAGATTAGCTATGACAGTTTACTTACTGAAGTTAAGTAACTCTCCCAGGTTTACTTAATACATACTTGCTTATATACAGGTATTATGTACCAGAGGTCTGCCCTCAGGAAGATTCCTCTGTGGATTCAAAGCTAACCTCTCTGCTAAGTGAGGTCATTGCTGTTCCCAGCACCAGTGCAGCCTCTTCCCTGCCTGTGACACAAACTGGTAAGTGTTTCTCTCCACCTGTGCTCATCTTTTTTTCTTTTCAACACTATTTCCACCCAATGGAATCAATCCAGTGACTTTTCCAGAAGACCAGCTGTCTTATTGAGCTGGCCAGTGACTGGAGGGAGCCAGCCAGCCTATTTTCTGGCTTGAGGCATCTTGTCCTGTCTGGGGTGGGCTGGGGAAAACAGCTCCTGCTAGAAGATACCTGCAAGCACCATGAGGATGGCCACTGAGGCATCCACCTGGAGCCAGTTGCATCCAGAATGGTAACAACTCACACTGAAGCCCAGGAAGATGACACCTGTCAGTATCAGGAAGACATCCAAGACTTCAGCCCCAATGGAGAGCCACAAGACACCTAGAAACACAAAGGACAGAAATGCTGGGCATTCACAATCCATAGCTGGAATGAAGGCTTGATCCTTTGGTTTTATTACTAACACACTTTCTGTTCTTATAATAAAAACCTGGAGGCTAGGCATTTTGGAAACAAAAAGGTCTCTTCAGTTCACAGTTTTGGGTGCTGTAAAGCCCAGACAGCATGGGCCACTGGTTCTTGCAAAACTTCCTTGGCTATCTTACAACATGAGCTTGGTGTCATGGTGGGGTCATATATGAAAAGGAGAAATCCAGGCTGACATGAAGCCAGAGGGGCAGGAGAGGGGTGGGGGAGGCCAGGCTTATCCTTTTCTAACACTCTTTCATGGGAACTAACTCAGAGTTGCAAAAGATCAATTCTTTCTGAGCAGCACCCCAAAAGACCTTAAACCTCTCTTGGTCGCCACCTCTGAAAGTTCCTCATCACCTCTCAGTAGCTCTACCCTGAGGACCAAGCTTCCAGCATAAGTACTCCCTGTGGATACACATAAGCGGTGGTGATGCAAGACACTTGCTACAGAAAGACTTCAATGTGAAAACCAAAGGCATCTTGTAGCTGAATGTTTTTCTGGCCCCACCCGGCTCCTGTGGCCCCGTGGCCCTGCAGCCGCTCAGACCCAAATGAACACACAGAGGCTTACATTAATTATGAACTGTATGGCCTGACAGCTCAAGATTCTCGTTAGCTAGCTCTTACATCTTAAATTAACCCATCTTTATAAATCTATACTTTGCCACGTGGCTTGCGGCTTATCGGTATTTTTACATCTTGCTTCTTCTGGTGGTGGTTAGCAGTGTCTCCTCAGCTCTGTCTTTCTCCTTCCTCTCTCTCTCGTTGGAATGTTCTGCCTAACCTCATTCTGCCTCACCATTGGCCAAACAGCTTCATTTATCAACCAATCAGAGCAACACATATTCACAGCATATAGAATGACATCACCCATCACTTCCCCTTTTCTTTCTATTTAAAAGGAAGGTTTTAACTTCAACATAGTAAAATTGCATTTAACAAAACAGTTACCAAGCAAGAATTATAGTTATAACATCTAGTCTATTTGTATTTGGCAAAATTAAAGAAGATATCCTATCTATCCTGTATTTGTGAGTCTAAGGTTTCATATCTACCTTATCTCTTAACATTTCCAAGGAAAACCATAATTATAACTATCTAGTCTTCAGCTACATCAAAGACCTCAGAAGGATATAATATTACTTAAGTAGACAGGAAGAGCATTGTAAGCAACTTCCAAAAATCTAGAATGACAGAGACAGCTGGCTGCCTGGACAGTCATCTAATATTCCTCTGCAACATTGGGGCATCCATGTTCAGCCTATAGGCCTAGAGTCTCTCAGTCGCTTCTCTCTGTGTCCTGTAGAATGTCTGGCAGTCTCCTCTGCAAAGCAGGAACCTGAAGGACCATTTCACCTTGTTTTGGCAAATTTAGTGGTCACCCTTTTATGAGTCCTGCATGTCCATTTTTTATCATTTTATCAGTAGTCCAGGCAAGAACAGTTTCTTGCCCAGATGGTTATTTTTGCCAAGAAGAAGATAAACTCCATATGGAGTGTCTTCGATGCCCATCCTCCTCTTTGAAGTAAATTGGTGCTGCCAGGAGCAGATGTGTCTCATTGTCCAGAAAGTTTAAGTTTTTAAAACCTTTTAAATGACATATTCTGTAGGTCTTTGAAGTGTTTGAAAATTACCTACCTAATTGAATTATATCTATGTATACCTAGAAAACTTAATATGACTATAAGTTTGACTATCATAGATGACTAATTATTAATCTGTATTTAATTATACATTAAAATTTTAAATGAGGTACATAAATGTAATACCTTAAGTGAGAGTAGAAATATATATACAGCATAACAAAATTAACCTTAAATTTATATCAATAAACTAAAACCCATAGCAATGTCAAACATTTTCAAACAAGTTGTTGTTCTTTAAAAGTAGGTTCATTAATCTACCCTTTCATTCTATCATATCTATATCCTATATTTCTATATCAGCATCTTGGTGGAGTCTTAGGAAGTTGGTCAGTCAAGGGGATCCTAGGACCTCAAGGAGGATATAAAGACTGATGGGAGGGAAACATAACCAAAACCCTGGCACAGAGCTGTAAGAGACTCCGGGAATGTCCAGCCCCCAGCTTACAAGTCAGCATATTTTCATTACAGTGGAGACATTGTCCATTGTAATGCACAGGGGTTGGCGAGATGGCTCTGTGGCTAAGAGCACTTGCTGCTCTTGCAGAGGACCGGAGTTCAGCTACCAGTACCCAAGTCTGGTGATTCACAACCACTTGTAATTCTATCTCCAGGGATCCCCACTCTTCTTTTGGCCTCTGCAGGCACCTGCCAAGAGGTGTTCAGATTCGCACACCCCCCCAACACACGGATCAGAAATGAAATCTTTGAAAGAAGATACACAGACTTAACTATGAGGGCAGAAGGGTCTGAGCATTTAAGAGCCTTGAGTGGGCTCCAGTTCTATCGACATCCTTTGTGTCCACGCAAGCTGCTTGTGCATTCTTGCTGGGATCGCGGCTGGAGCTGTGTTGGATGTGGGGTGGAGAAGGGTGGGTAGAGGGGATAGAAGGGAAATAGGAATTTGTAAAAGTCCCACTACCAAGCAGGCGAGTCAGGTGATGGGACAGAGGAACACCTGAGACTAACAGGATCCTCTATGCAGCTTCATAAAGGCTCCGTTCCCTCTGGGAGAGCAGACACCAAGAAAGCAAGCCCAAGCTCGATGGATGATGGAGAGAAGGAAGCACACAAGGCAAGGTATTCCAGATCTCGTGTCTTCCTGACTCTGCCTTTGCTTCACCCACAGAGCTTGAGATTGGCCACCGTGGGAGTATTTATGGCTTGGAAAGCTGCAGCCTCTACCAGCCAGTTTCCTGTCAGCCTGGGAAGCTGACTACCATCTTCCGGCACACCAGGGTTATAAGGCACACAAATGGAGCCTCGTTGACTTCATGGGTAAAACCATACCCAACCATCTCATCCTGTCCCTGTATCCAACAAAACAATAAGAGCCATTCAAATGGCACGAGGGACCCTGGCTGAAAGCACAATGCTTACCTTGTCCCTCGGTGGGCACTATCCCCAGGAAGCACCTGCATCGCTCGCCTAGAAGACAAGGAGAACACAGCCAAGCACCGTTCCACAAATAGACAAATGGATAACAAAAAATGTGCTGTGCATACACGATTCTATTCAGCTATAAAGAAAAACGAATTTGCAGAAAATTGGGTGGAACTGGAAAACATTATTTATGAGCGCTAACCCAGACCCAGAAAGACAAATATCATGTATTTTTCCCAGGCATATTCTAGCATGTTACCCTGAAGTATGCATGTCCAGGTGGAAATAAACATTAGTACATGCAGAAACTAGAAAGGATCCCTCATGGCTGGGTGTGGGGGTCGGGCAAAGGGAATCTAATGGAGGGAGGGTGGAAATAGAGCAAAATGGAGGTGAGACGGTAGCGTGAGGAAGGGGGACAGGCAGAGGAAGTGGGGACAAAGGGAGGTCAGTAATGACAGCAGCAGAAGATGATGGGCAGCATGTGGCAGATCAGTCACCGAGGTGTAGCTTCTGTGACTACCCCCACAGGAAGTTTCCAGACTTGTCTGAGCCTGTTTTCTTGATCTCAGACCGGGTCTAAGTAAAGTCCGTAGTAAAATAGTTGTGAAAACATGCTGCAGATTGCCGACGCGCTCTCGTGTTTAATTATCGAGTGATGGCAGTACAAGGATCTCTGTTTTGCAAATCTGAAAGTCATGCTCAAAGCAAGTTACAAAGTTAGTAGAGTAAGGGGTTGAAAGTGAGGTTTTCAGGGCTGTGGGTGTGACTCAGTAGAGTATTCGCCTAGCATTGATTTACAAGGCCCTAGGTTCAATTCCTAGTACTGGAAAGAGAGGAAGGAAGGAAGAAAGGAGGGAGGGAGGGAGGGAGAGAGGAAGAAAAGAAAGGAAAGTGGGGCTTTCCTACCTGAGGACTGGTACATTTTCCCACATCACTAGCTGCTCTATCTCACTAACTAATGCTTAGAGGCATTTATTAGTCTGTTTTCTACTATAACACAATACCAAATTTCGGATACTTTACAAAGAAAAGTAAGTATTTGTTAGCTCACAATTCTGGACTTTTAAGAGCAAGAGCCTGGCTTCTGCTTGGCTCTGATGAGGGCCTGGCCTAGTCAAATCACAGTGGCAGCTGGCATCATGATGGGAGTTTGTGAGTACAAGAGACAGAGAGCAGTCACTGTATGACAGCGGGCAAGAGGGATTCACTCTCTCAGGAACTCACCAGGATCTCAGGACAAAGAAGGTAGCACCCATGACCCAATCATCTTTCACGAGGTCCCACCTCGGAAAAATCCTACTGCCTTAAATCACCACCCGGGGACCTGGATCAGCACATAAAACTTTGGGGGACACCCTCAAACCACATTCCAAGCACATGAAAGGAGTGAGTATCCTGAGTCTGAGGAGAGCTGTCTTTTCCAACAGTAATGGAAGAGAAGCCAGGAGCAGGGAGGGCAGGGGCAGGGTAGGGGCAGGGGCAGGGGAAGCCAGGAGCATGGTAAGGCAGGGGCAGGGGCAGGGGAAGCCAGGAGCAGGGCAGAGCAGGGCAGGGGCAGGGTAGGGGAAGGCAGGGGCAGGGTAGGGGCAGGGGTAGGGGAAGCCAAAAACAGGGTAGGGCAGGGTAGGGGCAGGGGCGGGGGCAGGGGAAGCCAGGAGCCAGGCAGGGGCAAGGCCCAGAGCACCAGAAAGCCAGCTGAACAGATTAAGAGAATTCCCAATAGCTTAGAAGGGCAAGTTTAACTGGGCCCAGAGAGCTAGACCCGAATGACCCCTTGATTAATGTGAATCCTCAGAAACGGTGTTCCTTCTGAACAAAGCCAGCAGGATTAAGAAGAAAAATCTTTACAAATCCCATGAAGCCAGAGAGGCGGGTGTTACATAGCTTGGCAGGGCTTGGGCGGCCAAGAGGCACGGCAAGCCAGCTGCAGGAGCCCTGGGCGCTCAACTCTGCCGTTCTGCCCTAGAATCAAGGCCCCGGGGCTACCCACATGCCCCGTCTGAAAGCTCCGAGTTCAGCAGAACAGCGCAGGGTCTACTCAGGCACATATCATTGCTTCGGAGATTTGCCTAAGGAAAAGGACATGTGAGCCTCGTCTCTACCAGGAGCGTTCATTGCAAACCTTTATTTGAGAACGTGGAAAGAGAGGGGTAGACTCCCTTCTCAAAGCACTGAAGGGCCCACTGATTCAGATAGGAAACCTTTTCCCAGTCAGGTCCCATGATGAAAAACTGGGGCGTTCCCCCCCTCCCACCCCCCACAAAGCCCCTTGCCTGCACTTGGCTAGGAACATCTTCTTGGGACCAGACTCCTTATTACCTGTGCATTGAGCCCATTCCACCCGCTCCCAACTCTCTCCACCGTTTGTACTACTTCCCATACATTTCTGTCCTTACCCTCTCTTCCTTATCCATTTGTACTATTTCCCATTCATTTCTGTCCTTACCCTCTCTTTCTTATCCACCATTTGTACTACTTCCCATACATTTCTGTCCTTGCTCTCTCTTTCTTATCCATCGTTTGTACTACTTCCCATACATTTCTGTCCTTACCCTCTCTTTCTCATGCACGTTTGTACTACTTCCCATACATTTCTGACCTTGCCCTCTCTCTCATGCCCCTAGCCTCTCAGGTGCTTGTGATAGCCCATGTACTCCGTGACTGGGTGCTGTGTTCCATACTTCATTGCAGACATGGCTTTGCAGGCCTGTGCAAAGCTCTAAACAGATTTTTTTAAATTGGGAGATAGAAAACTCTAAATATCTCCCTTCACAAAAGCAAAGGATCTGTGTGGACTGAGCTCCCAAGAGGACCTGACCCCAGTGCTGAGCTGAGCTCTAACGGATGACCCCTTGGTCATCAAGGCATGAGGTTCAAGGTCACTGGCAAGCCTAACTTCTTCACTTCTGTGGCCACCTCCTGTGAGCTATTTGTGTTTGTAACTTCTAATACCTATTTTTTCATCTTGCTTTGTTTCTTGAGACGGGGTTTCTCTGTGTAGCTCTGGCTGTCCTGGAACTCACTTTGTAGCTGAGGCTGGCCTCGAACTCCCAGAGATCCATCTGCCTCTGTCTCCTGAGTGCTGGGATTAAAGGCATGCACCACCACGACTGGCCTACCTAGCTTTGACTTACCCTCTGATGTCTGGTATTAATGAATTCCTATCAAGTCAAAATTGAACTCTAAACTTTTTGCCTTAGGTACATCCCACAAAACATGGAGGTGATGATGTGTCTTCAGATAGTGAAATTTTTTTCTGGGAAGATGTCTTCTTTCTGTTGTAATAAAACAGTAGCATTGTGGTAACATTTAGAAACCCTAACTTTCTTATACCCTAAGTATGGAAAATGTGAGCAGAGAAGTTTTAGATGGATGGGCAAAAAGCATTTACGGTGCTTATCAGATTGTGGGGTAACAGCAGAAGTCAGAGTGAAGAGTGCAGAGTCCAAGTTCTTCAGTCTCTGCGGTCTTCAATGGGGTGCATGTGCTTCTACAGCGCAGTTTCTCACTGTGATTCTCACATAAATAATAGAAATAGAAGCAAATGTACAAACTTCTTCTTTTGGGAAACACTGGGATCTATTATTCAATTTTTTTTAAATTATGGAGCTTCCCAGAGATTTTTTTACATGCTAATGGACACTGTGAGTTTCCAAGAAGAAAATACAATATGCGATAGTTTCCAGCCTTGTTTGGGTATTCAAACTCTATTTATTTTCTGCAGAGAACATCTCTGTGGACTGAGTTTAGGACCAGCTAGTGAGGTTCTTGTTGAAGGCTCTTCCCATCCTGAACTCAAGAACAAAGGTGCACAAAGTTTCGAAGGGACCAAGAAACACACCCTTAGTTTCTTTTCAGGATTGTGTGTGAGTCGCTAAGAACATCAGTCTTCCTTAAAATTCAGTGTGTGTCCTAGATGATATAGAAAAGGCCCTCTAGGATTGCCATCCAAGGGAAGGTGGTGGTGGTGGTGGTGGTGGTGGTGGTGGTGTGTGTGTGTGTGTGTGTGTGTGTGTGTGTGTGTGTACTCCCTGGGTTGACAGGAATTCCAATGGGACTTCCCCTGGAGGAAGCAGTTAAAAGAGCCTCACACAGTCTCTTAATGTTGCCCCCAGATCCTGTTTTAGGATGAGGAATTTACACACACACACACACACACACACACACACACACACACACACACGCTGGTTAACAACTTTTTATCCGAAGTCTTAGGGATAATTTACAGCAACACCAGCTTAGAGTTGTAGTGACTAAGGGGCACACACCGCAGGGCATGCAGATAGCCAGCTGATACATGCTTCTGGGCCTCCTTAAAGTCCAGTGTTCCTCCCTTTCCTTAAGTCCAGCCAAGGCAGTTTTTCTCACAGGAAAAGCTATGAGGAAAACCACTCCCACCCCATGCTCCGCTGAAGGCCCCCTCCCTCTGACGTCACAAATAGCATACCAATGCCAGCGCAAAGGCAGTTTCTCCAGTTAGGTTTTTCCCCCTGATGTAATGGAGGGACAGCTGCCCCAGGGACATGGAGGTATCATTTCCAAGGATGACACCTGAGGTTGTGGTCTCCACATATATGTATACACACACAACCCTTCTCAACATGCACATACAAACACACATCGCAAAAACTGAAACATGTGGGGACTTGGCACAATGGCTGTCTCCTTCATGAAGCCTTGTCTATACCTAAGCAGCATATCTTTCATTCCCATCATGAATGGGCCTCCATCTTAACCATTATCACACCCTTCCTCATTTTACTTTTTTCTTAGATATTTTCCAGGAACCTTTTAGCTTGCAGCACTGTGGATCCCCCTCTGTTAGTTCCCCTAGCCCTGGGCCAAGCATGAAGTTGGTGAATATACCCCATGACATTCCAATTGCCTTCTGTCCAGAAGGCTTTTCTGTGTCCTGGAGCCTGCTTCTCTCGCTGTGGTGTGTGCCATGGCCACCAGGGAAGCAAATTAGGAATAGAGGTACTCTAGAGAGAATAAAGTTGAGTGGAATAGAAATACTAATGTTATGAGGGTGGAAAGAGAAACAGCAATTAGAAACTCCGGGGAAACCAAAAATCTGTACAAACAATGAATGTAATCAGAACATCCTTTCTGATGCTGGCTAGAATGAGCAACATCTAGTCAAAATTATTGGCTTATGATTTTAATAAAACAGTGATATTACTTTACCAGGAAGATAGCAGATGTTATGTGGGGTGTCGTCATGGAGAATGATACATTTTATTTATTATAGCACTAAGTCTAATGTCTAAAATGAAGATACCCATGTTTGTCCTTCATATAGAAACAGTTTGCCCTGAAGGAAGGGACAGAGAATGTTGGTTTTACTTATAAGTCTTTTAAAATGTGTGACTCTTATCTGTGCATAAATATTACCTTAGCTAAAATCAAAACAAAACAAAAACAAAAACACCAACAGCAAAAAACCTACCCAACCAACCAACCAAACAAGAGCAGGTTTCTATACTCCAGCCCACATCTATTGAGTTAGGGCGCTGGGGCCAGGTGCCTGGATGTTGACATGCAATTCTGACTCATGCCATTATACAAAGCTGTGCAGGTATGAGACTCTCTTCAGGTGGAGGGAACAGACTTGGAAACAGAAGTTCATAAGCCATTTGCTTATTGATGTGGTGTCTACAGTTCCCAAAGCAAAAACATGGGACTATCTTGGCGATCCCAGAGGATATAGGATCGATCACAAATCAAATGTAACTATGTGTGTGTGGGGGGGGAGTAGGGGGGGTCAGAGAGAGTGGACTTTATATGCTAGTACTCCAGAGAAAAGAGGACTTGGGAGGTCCCTTTGGTAGTCTTAGCTCCAGGTATACTGCTGTGCCTGCATCACACGGAGCAAAGGCCACTTCGCCTGGAGGCTAAGGTGGGACATTATTTGTCCCTCAGAAGCCCACTTGGGTAGGGTTGGAGGTGGTTGTGCTGTGTCTTGGAGTACTGCCCCTTGTTGCAATCTACTTAGGCTCCAAGAAAAAATTTTAAAATGCCACAAGATGGCGAAAAAAACATCTCTACAAGAAATGTAGTACGTCTGAGGTCAGAAAATAAGTGGGGACTGTATGGGTGCCCACCCTTTTCAATTTGGGGACTTTACTTTAAAAGCAGAGGAGCACATCTAGCCCTGAACATGGGCTTCAGCCAGCCTGTCTAACATCAAGGGTTGACATTCTTCCCTCTTCCGTTCTTTGTGAGGTCAAAACACTTGCTGGAAACTGTGCCCTATGTACCAACCCTCCCCTCCATCTTCTCTTTCTTCTTCTCTCACCATTTACATGATAAACTTCCCCCGTCCATCAATGAAGCCCAGGAGGTGTTAATGAGTCGGGGCTGACTAACATGAGAGGAGGCTTGCCCGCTGTGCAGATTCTCCGAGGCTCAGTCTCCTGCTTCAGAGTGGAGGGAATGCTCTACTGCGCAAGCCTGTTTCAAGGGCTGCCTGAGACAAAGGTCCAACCTGTTATGGGCCTTGATTGTGATAGCTCTGGTAGGTGACATAATGGTGTTACGTTTTTGTTTTGTTTTTTGTTTTTAGTTGTGAGCTAGCCTATAAAGGCTGAGCCATCCTGCTGTGGGATGGTCTGTATGTCAAGTGTGTTGCTGATTGGTCAATAAATAAATCACTGATTGGCCAGTGGCCAGGCAGGACGTATAGGCGGGACAAGGAGGAGAATAAAGCTGGGAAGTGGAAGGCTGAGTCAGAGAGACACTGCCAGCCGCCACGATGACAAACAGCATGTGAAGATGCCGGTAAGCCACGAGCCACGTGGCAACTTATAGATGAATAGAAATGGGTTAATTCAAGATAGAAGAAGTAGATAACAAGAAGCCTGCCACGGCCATACAGTTTGTAACCAATATAAGTCTCTGTGTTTACTTGGTCGGGTCTGAGCGGCTGTGGGACTGGCAGGTGAGAGAGATTTGTCCTGACTGTGGGCCAGGCAGGAAAACTCTAGCTACACCATCCCTCCAGCCCCCCCTTTTTTCCTAAAGAGAACCCTTATTTCAAGAGCCCGTAGAAGTGCAAGAGAGGCCAGAGTGATGGTTCAGCATCAAAGAGCTGCTGCTCCCGAAGAGGACTTGGGTTTGGTTTCCCAACAAGTCAGGTGTCTCACAACTGCCTGTAACTCTAGAGAGGATACACACACACACACACACACACACACACACACACACACACACACACACACACACACAGAGGCAGATTTATCTCTGTGAGTCTACATTCCAGGCCAACCAAGGCTACAATGTTAGACCCCCATCTCCAGTAACAACAACGATTTTTTAAAGTAAGACAGAACCCTTAGGGATGCAGCTTAGAGTGGGTGGGGACCACCGTTGATTCTTGAGAAACTGACAGACAGTGGCACGTGGGTGAACACTTGTGCTTAGTAAACAGTATGTCAGTCACTGCTGCAGACACTTCCCATGAATCTACTCTGTGCTCTATCCCTAGGAGTTAACACCTCCATGGTTCCCATTTCATAGATGAGAAAATTGAGGCTCAGAGGTAAAGGACGTCCTTAAGGTCACATAGTTAGTCCATGGCAGACCCAAGATTCAGTCCCAGGCAATCTGGCTCTGGAACCCCTTCTCAGAGCCATCCTGCACCTGTCAGCCTGGGGACACAGACTGCACTCACCTGTGCTGTTGAGACTTTCCTCACAGGACTGCCAGAGCCCCGCGTGGAACCTGCGCTGGATGAACTTGTCGTCCCCCGTCTCCCAGATGTACTGGACAGCCTGGCTATCACCGTGCCTTCTTCCAGGGCTGCTGCTGGCCCGGCTGAAGTGAATGCAGTTCAGTCCCCCCAGGAGGTCCTGGCACAGTGGTTTTGTCATCCGCCGGATCCCCTCACACCAGTGGCTGCTGCCCATGGCCGTGAGGGAGAAGGCAAGCGCCAGGCAGATGGGGAGGAGGGTCAGTACCCGTTGCCACCTCTCCCTGTCCATGGCAGAAGGAAGCTCCTAGTGCCAGCGTGAGCGAGGGCTCCCTCCTCTCTACTGTATCATGGTCTCCGTCCTTCAGCCCTGCCATCTGGCATCCTGACACAGCTCATGGTCCCCTGGGGAACCCGAGTATATTCCAGCATGTAGCGTGTGTGTAAGTACTGTGTCCTGAGATACCCTCCTGTGAAATTCAGTGTGGGCTTTTCTGTCCTCTCTAGGATGAGTATGTGCAAGGGACATTGGTCCATTTTCTAAATTGGTAGTAAACTATGCATAACAAAAATGTACTACCTTAACCGTAAGTGTACAGTTCAGTGGCAGTGAGCATGGTCACATTGCTGTGCAGCCCTTGCCTCCATCTCCAGAGCTCCCCTCGGCTTGCAAAATCCAAAATCGAAGCCCTATCACTGTTAAACAACTTTCCATTCTCTCTCCTCAGAGCTCCTGGCAGCCTCCAATTGTCCCTACTGTCTTGGAATTCTACAAAAAGCCACATAGAAATGTAACCATGCAGTATTTATTCATCCTTATATGCCTGGCTTATTCACATAGTGTAACATCCTCAAACTGCATCATGTTGTAGTATCCATCAAAAACTTTGTGACTCTTTGCATGGCAGAATAATATTCCCTTGTGTTTAATGTATCACAACTAGTTTGTCTGTTTATCTCTTGATGGACAGCTGGGTTGCTTCCTTTGACAATTATAGAGAACACTGGTTTTGACCAAAGACTGAGACTATTTGGGTGGGTGTCAGGATGGCCCACTCCACTCTAACTTTTGGAATTGAGGAAGGCCTTTGGTGTTAGATTCAGAAGCATGAAATGCTTTCTAAAAAAAATTAGCTTACAAATAATTAGGTTTCATTATGACATTTTCCAAAAAAAATTTGCTTTTGTTGTTTCTCTTTCTACCTTCTTTCCCATCCGCCCTCCTCCTGCCCTCCCACCCCCAGTCACTTCCTTTCTACTCCCATGACATATGTGATTTTTGTCCTTTTCCTCCACGTTCCTAACTTCTCTTGTCCCGTCCCCCCCCGCCCCGCCCCATGGTCTGCCGTCTAGTTTCGTAGTTCACACCCACTCTCACAAACCTCTGTTTGCATACATAAGCCTTAGAAGTTAGGATCTGCATGTAAGAGTAAACATACAAGAAATATGGAAACTTGGGGAATTTCTGGGCCGGTTTCTTACCCAGCCCTGGGAAAGAGACTGCAGAGGGTTTAGCTCAGGGACTCAGAGGAGCAAGACACAGGCAGTTTGCCTCAAAGTCTGTGTATGTGCAGAGCGGAGAGGGACATGTGCTCAGCTGGCTGCAGAACTTCACACCATCCAGGGGACTCAAAGCCCTCGACCATCACGCACATCCTCAAAGAATGGGTCACTGCAGGAGGGGTGATGTTGAAGATCCTTAAGTCCTTGGGAGGGTAAGGCTAGGCCCCGCCCCTTGGTGGCCAAGTCTCCAGTAGGGTTGGGAAGGAGTGTGGAGTCTCCCAGGAACCTTGTCTTTTACTTAGGTCTGAGGAATAAAACACAAACTAAACCAAATGTTTTTAGGATGAGGAAAGAAAAGGCAATTAGAAACTCTGGGAAAAGTGAAAATTTACATAAGAAATTCAATAAGCCTGAAGGCAGGAAGGAATGGCGAGCCTCTGTGGCCTTGGAAGATTTTGGGCTCCTCATTATGTGTGGGGCAGCCCTGGAGATGTCCAGATGTAGACGGGCAGTGACATTTGTGTGTCTCCTCCCATCTGTTCTTCCCTGCTGGCAAAGCCTGAGGACCTGTACTCTGTGCTCTCCATAGCCTTAGAAACCACACAGGGCCCTCACAGACAGGCTTACCACATTTTGTCACTAGATGGCAGCCATTCCAATAGGTAGCAGGTGGGGAAGTTAGCCAAGGCATGTCCTTTCAGGGGGGAAAAATCAGGAAAAATGCTTTTGAGAAACATTTAAAGAAGCAAGGTGGAATATTCGTACAAAGCAGGCATTTTATCCCCCACCATGCAACCTGGAAGTTTCCCTTTGATGTGTGTAGAATAGCTTTACAGTCACATTTTACACACACACACACACACACACACACACACACACACACACACACACACTTTCCTTCCTCCCTGCCACTCTGTCCCATTCTCTGTGTTCCCAAAGAGATGACCACATTGCCTCTGGAAATCACACCAGCACAAAAGCCCGTCTGGGAGTCCTTTCCAGACTGATCTTTTGACTATTAAGGTTTGAATGCTTGCCACATGAGGGTTTTAAGATTTCTAGGGTCTTTTATCTAGTGGTGGTCATGCGTTTTCCCCTGAATGTTCAGAATTCATAGCTAATGGAAACGAGCTATGATTTAATTCAAATGTGTAAAAAACAGAAAGAGGTGGAGGAGAAAAGAAGGGAGGGGGAACGGAAGGAGGGAGGGAGAGGAGAGGTGCGAGGGGGGAGGACAGAAACCTGCCTTTCCTAACTCTTGCCTTTCTGAAATTTTGTCTATCACCTTCCACTTGGGCCTCCAACTGGAAAAGGTGGAGAGAATTCTGGGAGTTGTCCAGACAGAGGAGGGGTGAGGGACCCAAGGAAAGCCTTAGAGACAGAGAAGACCCTGCTACTGGCTAGGAGTTTGCTCTGAGGCCAGAGTGGTAAAGGACAGCTTCTGACCAGGTAGCCGTGATCAGGTGACTTGGCTAGAAGACTTGGCTCTCTCTTTGACTTGCTGTGTAGCCTTGCACAAAAAAACTTAACCTCTCTGAACCCACTATTTCTCAGCTCTCAGATGAAGAAGTAATGGCGCCTTGGGAGGATACGTGTGAGTTCAAGTGAAACAGGACAGGGGATGGAAGATATTGTAACTGTAAACTGCAGTGGGAAGGTAGGGTGTTGGTTAGTAAGTGGTGGGTCATGAATTCCACAGAAGTATCCAGGTGATCAGAGCAACATTGTGTTCAGAGCACCACAGCCTGCTCCTAACACGTGGGCAACTGGGAGGCACCAACCTCTGCGCTTTCTACCCATTGTTTTGCTATTGTGTAGATGTAACTCTCAACACTGAATGGGCTTTTGCTACAGACCTTGGGTCTGGAGGTGTTGGCTGTGAGACAGGCAAACTGTCCTTGTTCCCTTGGCATAATCAGAGCTCAGAGGTGGCCCTGCCTTTGTGGCTAGCCTCAGCACAGTTTAGAAAACCTGATGCCTTAGAAAGAAATACTGGCATAAAAGATACCCACCTGGCATACCGACCCATCCTCTCCAGCTGTCGGAACCTCAGTCCGGCCCTGTGCATGGAGCAGACTCCTCAGGATGGAAAGCATGCCTTACTTTTTCTTCTGGGCCTGCTGAGGAAGTCCTAGGCAGCATAGCCGTCTTGGGGTAGGTCTGGGAAAAATCCCCCTCAGGATGGAAAGCATGCCTTACTTTTTCTTCTGGGCCTGCTGAGGAAGTCCTAGGCAGCATAGCCGTCTTGGGGTAGGTCTGGGAAAAATCTCCCAAGATTTTAGGAGGGGCAGGCGGGGGATGAGAAACTTGGAGATTCGGTAGATCGCTGTAGAGCAGCTCAGACACTCGGCGGCCTGCAGAGGACTCGTGCAAACACTTCCTCTCTGGACAAGGAGGAATGCAGGAGGCCACCGCCTGCGGTACATCTTGGAGTGCTGGAAGGATGTGCTTGCACTTGTGAAAGGGCACCCCGGAGGATGAGGCCCCCACCAAGCCCGGCAGTGCCCAGTAGAACGAGAGAGGGGCCTGTGCCCCGGATGCGGACACAGCCGATGGGCATCCCTGCAGCCCAGAGGACCGGTCCTCTCCAGTCCCACGGGATGCGTCTGCTCTGGGGCCCTAGGAGGCTCTTCCTCACCCTGCTTCTGCTGGTTTCCATCAAGCAAGTAAGAGCAGATTCTATTCCTCATTCTTCTTGTTAATATTATGAGTTGTGCATGTTTTCTGATTGTAGAAGCAATTTAAGCCCCTTGTAGGCAATCTGGGAAGAAGAAAACCATATTAAGAAAATGATGCTCAGCCGTAACCACAGCGTCCTGTTCACTGCTCATATTTTGGCTTTTTTTTCAATCTCTTGTCTGTGCATTATTTTACAGAGCTGAAATAATGAAGCGCAAATTATTTGTGTCCCAGTCTTCCCTTTACATCCTTCTAGAATCATCTTCCACGTCCGCATTGATGAGTGGCTGCTTGTATCCCCCTGTACACTCTCCCTGGTTTGAATGCTCACAGGAAGTGCACATTCCTGGGTTTGAGTGGTGACAGGGAGTGCCTTTTTTCTTCTTCTTTTCTCTTTTCCTTCGTTCCTATTGCAAATACTTAGAATTTTTTCTTTATTGTATTCTATAGTCTATAATATTAAAAGACACAGAATCCAAAGACCTACCAATGTAAGTTACAAATCACAGTGATCCCACCAACTGGAACTCCCCCTCAGTCACATTTGGGGACCACACATCCAACACTTTCCCACTGCTCACTTACATCCAAGTTAAAACAACAAGTTATGCATGCTATATTTATTTTGTGATCTAAATTTTAGCAGCAAAAACATAAAGGGCATGAACGCACCAATAGCCAAGTGGCACTGAGTTTGGTATCATGCATCCCCGTTTCTATGATCCTGTGCTCTCAGCACCCCTGCGAGGGAGACTCTCTTGTTAACCCCGTTTTACAGAGGAGGAAACGGAGCCTGTGGGGGTTGTGACACTGCTCCACACTCATCAGTACAGACCCACCGTAGGACGGCGGAGGGCTCTCTGGGTGTGCGAGCACGTGGTTAACTGATGCCTCTAGTTAGGCTTTTCAGTAGCTTGCTTTACTCTTATCGGAGGAGGTTAGCCCTTGGCCTTCTCCTTCCCTCTCCCAGGTCTCGTTTCTTCAGAGCTGTAGTGGAAGGGACTCCACTTACCTCGGTAGAGAAAACACTGTAGGGGATGACTGTCTTTCCCCTTCTGCTTCCTAGTCCTCATTTGCAGCTTCAGAATGAAAACAGGCTGCATCCAGGGAGGGCAGAGGTGCCAGGTCTCATAAATGTCCCCTTTCCCAGCCCTTCTGCCGGAGACTAGACAGGCAAACAACGTTGCTGCTGACTGGCTGCATCCAAGCTCTCCCTTGGGCTGCCTTCATCCTTCATGTACTGTCAACTTGGGGACAATTGGTGGTCTTGGGGAAACTTGCTATGGTGGCAGAGTCTTACGAGGGGACTATATCCCCAAGGAGCAGCTGACCTTGGCCTGCTGTTTGCACTGTAACTGGTGGTGCCATTGTAGGGAGAGCTGGTGGCATGCCATCCTTGCTTGCAGTCTCTGGGTATCCCTCTAAAAACCCAATGCATCTGGCTAACTGCTGCATTCTGCTCATTTTCTATTCATATGTGTCCAACTGTCCAGCACACACCCACACTGCTGCAGCCCTGACCGTACAACTGGAAGATACCTCCTTACACCTTATCCTGTGGAATGCTCACAGGCAGCCCATGAGAAGAATATTACTATTGAACTCATTAAATAGATGGGCAAAAAGCTCCAGGGAGTTACATGATTGCCTTCCCTCACGTACACTCATGAGCCGGGGAGCCATTGTGTCTACCCGGCGGGTGGTGGCCCTGTGTTCTGTCTTCTCTAGCACTCTTGGGAGCTGTTGACATATGACTATTTATATATAATAACAGCAGCGCCTGCAGTCCTTCAGGCTGGCTGACAATGCTGACCAAATCATACCTTCGCCCTTTTACTCTGGTGTTTCCATATCAAAACTGCACTGGGGGCGGGGGAGGGTCTCCTTGACGCTTGTGGATTGGACTGTGTGTTCAGAGACCCTGGCTCTGTCTGTTCTGCAGCCTGTGGCTGTGACTCTGATGAATCTCCCCTTGATTATCCAACTTTAACCTCAGAGTCTTTAGATGTTTATACATTACTAGGCTTTGCGTAGACATTCATGAAATTCACTCACACATGAGTTCCCTACTCGGAGATATAAATGACTGTGGCGTGTGTGTGCTGGCAGGAAGTCTTCATAAAATTCACTTAATGAGAAATTCTCAGAGATACTTTAATTTCTAAATGCAAGCGGCAGAGTAGTGCTTGCTCACACCCACCCACTTACTCATTTACCTCATTAGGCACTAAAACTATTAAAGGTACTCAGAGAAGTGGATTTTATACATTGATGGTTGATGTATGAAATGGTGCAGGGTTAAAAAATTAAATTGGCAAGGATAAATAGTTTGGTGGTACATTATCAAAAACCTTTAAAAATGTGTATATTCCCTGACCCAGGAACTGTGCTCCACATGCACCCTACAAAGGTTTTCATCACAGATATCCAGTAGCAGCATCTGAAAGTAACTTTGACTTTCTATGCTGGAGGATTTAAAAATTAAATTGTATCACATTGGTTCACTGAACTATGTGTGGCAATTAATGGGATATTGAATAAAAGCAACAATAAAGCACTTTTAAGTATATCTTGAAATGGATGTGTCTTCTAGGTAGAAACATAAAGTTTGCAGGACAATATGGCTTCCTTTTTTTGGTTAGAATAAAACAGAACAGAAAAGTAAGCAAGATGAAACATGTGTGGAAAGAAGGGTCTGGAAGGGAAGGTGCTCCCTGGGGATGAAGGGTGTGATCCCCCTTTCCCCTGTTTCTGGTTCCCCGTGCCTTTCCCTTTCTTTGTTCTGTGGTGTACTCATTCTCTAACAAAGGAAGAAAGATTTTTGCGTAAGCAGGTCAATAAAGGCTCTCTTCCCACACACACCTTCTTGATTTCTTCTCAGTTATGGATACACGCTGCCTATGCAAGGAAAGAGGAATGAAGGTCAGGCTGGACCTCTCTGTGCGTCTCTTCTCCTCATTACGCTGGGAACTCAGCTGAGGTTGGCTTTAGACATGCCTCCCATCTTTCTGATGTGTTTTAAATAAGTTCCTGGGAAGGCAGAGTTTGCCTAGCTCCCCTAGGCTGATCACATTCAGTGGTTTGTTTTGTTTTTGTTGGTTTGTTTTTTTTAGCTCTAACTTGTTTTCTGCTGTGTGTGTGTGTGTGTGTGTGTGTGTGTGTGTGTGTGTGTGTTTTGTGTGTGTGTGTGTGTGTTTGTGTGTATGAGTGTGCATATGCTTGGGCCAGAAGTTGATGCCAGGCGTCCTCCTCGGTTGCTCTCCACCTTGTTTTTTTGAGACAGGGTCTCTCACTGGTGCAGGATCTCACTGAATTGGCCAGACTAGCTGGCCGGCAAGATGGGCTCCCTCTGTCTCCTCCTCCCTAACTCTCAGATTACAGGCATGTAACTCTAGGATTACAGGCATGTACCCCCCACGCCTGGCTTTTTACATGGGTGTTGGGAATCCAAAGTCAGTCTTTCAGCTTGTGTGGCAAAGCATTCTACCAACAAAGTCGACTCTCCAGTCCGACTATCCTGCTTTTCTGCTTTCACCATCACCATCAGTCCTGGCAAAGAACAAGGGAGCTAGGAGAATTTTAGTCCCAAGACTGATTTCATAGTCTCTCCTTTAGGTAGGTCTGAGGAAGGAGCCCCAGGGCACAAATAGCTCTTTAGGCAAGGGAGGGTCTGACTTTCATGACTTTGAGGATTATGGAAACTTGTTGATTAGTTATTAATTCATCATTTCATTAAACAATATCTTAATAAACTTACTTGGTGCCTCTTGGGGTCCAACCAGAAAGGGACATTATTAGCAGAGATTCAACGCTCATTGGAAAATGAAGCTGAGATAAGTGCCAGCTATTGTATCCTCGTGGTTCTTCCTTATTGGCTAATCTCATAGTCTCCAGACTGTGTGTCAAGGTGCCCAGGGCACCATGGTGAATTCAATGGGTGCTATGGGAAATTTTGATTTTTGGAGGAAACAGTGATTGTGTCACTTTCCAGACACCATGCAAACTCTTAGCTCAAGATATTCATGGCTTCTTCTGTTTTTGTAGTGCGGGGATGGAACCCAGGCCTTGCACATGTCAGATAAGCATGGGGAGGAGCTGCATCCTAAGACCTGAATTTAATTAATTGACAGGGTCTCATGTAGCCCAGGTTGGCCTTGAATTCACAGTGTAGCTAAGGTTGGACTTGAACTCTTGATCCTCCTGCCTCCCCCTCCCATAACTTTCATGCCCATGTCATAGCTGTGCTCCATAACACCATGTCTGCTTGACTTACTATTAGACCATGAAAAACATGGTGGTCTGCAGGTACTGTGCTAAAAAAGCAAGTACCAAACAGAACAGAACCAGCATGGGACAGGAAATGGAGGTGGTGATGTCTAATCCCATCCTAAAGTTTGAGAAATTGTGCAATGCCCGATAGGTTCAAAGTTGTTAAGATATAAATATTTACAAACTCTAGGGACTTGCTTACTTAATAAACAGGGCCTTAGCTTTTTTATTTTGGTCTGGGAATGCCTTGGAAAATTACTGAGATAGTTAAGGGTGCCACGAGCGGAGAAATTTTGGAAACCTGTGGACCAATGATGACAGCACAAGCCCTTTTCCAAAACGTGTGTACGTGTGTGTGTGTGTGTGTGTGTGTGTGTGTGTGTGTGTGTGTGTGTGTGTGTGTTGTGATCCTCTAGGAAAGCTATAGAAGAAACCCACAGACCTCATTGGGATTGCCAAGGCGTTGGGGGAGGGGTGCACTGAGCAGAGGAGGGAGGGCAGATTAGACAAACTACCTAGGTGGCCAAACCGTCAGTTAGTTCTAGATGGGCTCACTATTTTGGGGACAGCGGTTGATTTATGTTTAATTAAACCTGAACGTCTTCAGGGGAAATATTTCCCAGTTTTCTAGAGGCTGCTCTGTACCTCACTGCTGCACCTATTGAATCTTTAGCAAATTGTGAATCCCTTTTACTGGTTAGAGACAGGAGGCTGCTCA